ATTTCATGATATATTCATGTATATATATTCATGTATATTATAGGTGGGATTCTTAACAGTGGTTTTCACTCAACGTTATTTAATATTCTATTAATTTTTTTTATATATGTAAAAAATTATTTAAAAAATCATAGTATTCAAATATTGAATTAATAAATAATAAACTTTTTTATCTTTAAATTTTATAGTCTTCTTAAAGCAATTTATAGAAATATAAATTATTGTTTATTAGTGTTAGAATTTTTTCTATTCTAGAAAATTTCATATTTTATAATGCGAATCACTGTAACGAAATTTTACAGTACGATGTTCAAGAGAAACCATATATTACATGGATAATCACACGTCAGAGGATATACGAATGAAAAAATTTTCTTAAAAGTCGATTAATTTTTCTCCAAGTGAAAAAAAATTCATAAGAAATTTAATTAAATTTAATTTTAAAAAAGAGCTTAATTGACTCACCATTTTATTTCATTATTTTATGGACTATTAGCTACAAGATTTTATTTGATAATTTAATTAATTATATTAGGTGGAACTATTTTCTATTGTCCGCCTTGTTTTTGGCATTGTTGCTGCTTTTTGGAACGCATAGCCACAAACATTCTTGTCATATAATTTAATTATTATTTATTATTTAATTAAGTCATCTACGAGATATTGTAATTTTTCTTTTCGTATGGTTCACTAAAGAATCGATGCTCGTTGTCTAAATTCGGTAAGAAAATTAATTTTATTCAGCTTTATTTTACAATCAATAATTTTCATTCAACATCAATTTCCGCATTTTTTATTTTTAGGAATATGAGATGGCCAGACTTGTAGCGAATTTAATTATTTATTTATGTCTGTTGTGTAGTAGTATTAATGCTAATGAAAGTAATGATAATAATGATGAAAATGTAGCATCAAAAGTAGTATATAAGAGACCTGAAATCTCTGGTTTTGCATATTTAATAGAAACATTCGATGATGAAGAAAAGTTTAAAGAACATTGGATTCTATCTGAAGCTAAGAAGGATTCTATAGATGAGGATATAGCAAAATATGATGGTTAATTTTTTATTTATGGCTTTAATTGTATATATTTATATTTATATTTTGTCAAAATTATAATAAATGTTATTTGGGTAGGAATTTGGTCTATAGAAGAACCTAAAAAGCATGCCCAAGAGGGAGATCTAGGATTAGTTCTTAAAAGTAAAGCCAGACATGCTGCTATATCTACTAAATTATTTACACCATTTTATTTCAATGATAAACCTTTAATTGTACAATATGAAGTGAATTTTCAAGATAGTCAAGAATGTGGAGGAGCTTATTTAAAATTGCTTACTTTACATCCAGAACATCAAGATTTAAAAAAATTCCATGATAAAACTCCTTATACCATAATGTTTGGCCCTGATAAATGTGGAAATGATCACAAGGTAATAAATAAAAGATATTTATTTTTATAAAAGCATTCTAAATTGTTTTTTTTTAATTTAGCTACATTTTATCTTTCGACACAAAAATCCTTTGAATGGTTCAATAGAAGAGAAGCATTGCAAGAAACCAAGGGAGCGTTTGGAAGATTTTTTCAAAGATAAGCAACCTCATCTATATACTTTGATCATTCGGCCAGATAATAATTTTGAAATCAAGATTGATAATAAAATAGTAAATTCTGGATCTTTGCTGGATGATTTTACTCCACCAGTCAATCCACCTTTGGAAATAGAAGATCCAACTGATGTTCAACCAGAAGACTGGGATGACAAAGAAAAAATTCCTGATCTATCAGCTATTAAACCAGATGATTGGGATGAAGATGCTCCAGCACAAATTGTTGATGAAGACGATATTATGCCTGAAGGATGGCTTGAAGATGAACCACCAATGATACCTAATCCTGATTCTGTAAAACCTGATGATTGGGATATTGAAATGGATGGAGAATGGGAACCTCCAGAAATTCCAAATCCAAAGTGTACTAATGCACCTGGATGTGGATTATATAAGCAAAAAATGAAAAAAAATCCTCGCTATAAAGGCAAATGGTCACCACCTTTGATTAATAATCCAAATTATAAAGGCAAATGGAAGCCAAAATTAATACATAATCCTAATTATTTTAATGATGAACATCCATTCCAAATGATGCCTATTGTATGTTTTCATATATTTCCATATAATATTTCAAATAATTTTAAATATAGAAAATATTATGTATTAAATATAAATATATTAAATTTATAGTTTGCTGTAGGCTTTGAACTTTGGTCAATGTCTACAGACATCCTCTTTGATAATATTGTTATTACTCATGATGAAGAAGTAGCAAAATATTGGGCTGATAATACCTTTGAAGTTCGTCGCGCCCAAATTGCAGAGGAAAGTGTAAGTGATTTTTTTTTTTAGTTAATCAAATTATTTATTAATTTAATTTTACAACTTAAGTTTATCAAGAACTGATAATGAAATTAAAAAAATTATTATTTTTATGAAATGCGATACATGTACGCTATACTATACAGGTAACTTTATGGGGTCGAATATTGAAAGCAACAAATTATAAACCAGGCTGGTGGGCATTGTATTTTATATATTGTGCAATACCAGTTATATTATATATTTGGTATCTACTAAAGCGAATCCGTGAGGTATATTTTGTGATTTCAGATTTACACATCATTCACTTTTTGTAAGATTGGAATGAAAGTGTAATATGATACCTTTTATAATGCGCTATCCTTCTCATAACATATCCATATGAATTTTTTTCATAGTATTAAAATTATATATGTTATAAATTATGTTAGTTATAAATTACACAAAGTAGCATATAGTATGAAAAATTAAAAAAAAAATATTTAAAAATTGATTAATTTTTAAAAAATCAATTTGTAAATATGATACTTGGATAGAATTTGTTTATGAATCTTACATATAATTTGTAATTTTATAATTATTTTATATAGTGGAGTGTATGGCGTCAGATTGGTACATTTACTGCAGAACATCCTTGGATATGGGGTATATATATAATAGCTCCTGGCTTGCCCATATTGCTAGTAATATATTGTTGCTGCTTTGCTTCTCAGGTATAAAAAAATCATTAGTTTTCAAACTATATATATCCATAGTAACTATATAAAACAATCATATTATGCTAATTAGAAGTTTAGTAAAATTTATTTTTTATTTTTTGAAAATATTAAAAAATAATTTTTTTAAATATATTTTCATATTTTTATAAAATATAAAAAATTAATTTTTTTAGGATAAATATGATTTAAAAGATGATGATAAACAATCTTTAGTAACAAATGAACAAGTAGTAAAACAAGAAGAAACAGAAAATCTGCCACCTAGTACTGAAGAAATTGAAAAACTGAATGAAAATGAAGAAATTATAGAAAGTGAAGAAAATGTTAGTTAAATTTTCTTTTTTATTATGATAATAATAATTTAAGAAATTTATTTTAATTTTGAATTGCTTTCAGGATAAACCAGAAATAGGTAGTGATGGACCACGGCGAAGAAAACCAAATAAAGAATAGAATGAATTGAAATTAAATGAAATAAAAAAAATTCGTATTACTAAGGTATTTATGTAACACTTACATTCCACTTGAACTTGCCATCGTGAACATTAGAATTTTTTCAGTATCTAATTACATATAATACAATTCACTAGAATTCAGATTTTTATCTAAAAATTAATTAGATATTTTTTTGATTCTCATGTGTATAATTTTTTATTAAGTCATATTTTTTTAGCAAATAATTATCACATTGAAGCATGTTACTCACGCGTATGAATGATATAAATACTTAAAAAAAAAAAAAAATAAGCAAAAATTTGTAAGAATGATGTTTGATGTAATTTATGCCATTATAATGTGTAGCAATGTAATTTTTGTTATTGTACATTAAAAAAATGAAATAATAGAATACATTTATTAATAATTTCTGTATAATAATAAAAGAGCAGATCATGTATTCTTTCTTAACCTTCTTTTGATATCATTCAGTTATAGATAACAACAATAATATACTTAATTTTAAATTTTAATTTTGCTCTTCATATAATAAAAATTATTGGTGATATTTATCATAAAATATAAAATACAAAATTATATTGAATACTTTAAAATTAAATAGCCTAATTCTTATTAACTGTCTACTAGCTCTTAATAACTTCATAATGTCAGTTAAAAGTTAGTTAAGAAAGTACATGAATTGTGCCATGTTTAAGAATTTTTAACATGTAATCCATAAGATTTTATTAATATTATCAATTACTGTTTTTCATAGAAATTTATAATATTATTCAATGTAACAATTTTTCTTAAAGAATGTTTCATTCCTTTACTATTACGTTAATAAACTGTATAATATGAATGAAATAATTTGATGTATTATATCATATTGTATTATATTACAATTATTATTAAGTTTGGAATTATTTAAAAATAATGAATAAATTATAAAAATTTTTCTTTTCTTTTATTCAATTTTTTTTCTTTTATTCAAATTTCAATAAATTTTTTTTATTAAAAAATTATTAAAAATTAACATAGAAAATTAACATAAATAAATATAAAATATTAAGTTAAATTTTAATTTTTTACTTTTAATTTTAATTTTAAAAAGTTTTTTATTTTTATCTCTAATTTTAAAAACACTACTTAAAAAAATAATACATTTTTAGAAGAATAGTTATTATGATACAATCTGTGTTGAATCATTAAAATAAAATTATAATTTCTTATATGTATATTTTTTTTGTTTAAAATGAATATATTTTATTTCATATTAAATTATTATACTAATATTATCTAAATAATTATATAATTAATACTAAATAATTATATAAAATGAAAATATGTGATATACAATTTTCTGATATACACAATGCACAATTTCCATCAGAGTGATTTTATAATTAATGTTACTATTTGCTTATTCCTATTTTCATATTACATCATTTAATTGTCATATATAATATACATTTTAGGTACAGATTATAAATTTAAATAAATGTTTAAAGGAATCAATTTAAGGACTAGTGGAAGGAATATTAGAATTCTGCGTACATGACTTACAAGTAGGTACTGCGCGTTGTGAATGGTGTCCAGCAAGAATACTATGTGCACCCATGCATCTTGTACATAATACTTCTCCACATGACCAACAGTGATGCTAAAGAAAGAAAGAAGAAAATATAAATTATTAATTCTAAATAAAATTCTTAAGTATATATTTAAATATATATTTAAGTTCACCTTTTTGTTAAATGCATCAAATGTTGTAGAGCATGTACATTCTTCCATATTTCTAAATAACTTCCAGTCTAAAGCAACTGTTTTTAGTTCATTTTGTAATTGATTAATTTTTAACTTACACATTGATCTTTCTTCATGATTTGTATTCTCTATGATAGTTTCAGATAATGGATCTTTCATATATTTATTATCGAATTTTAATTTCGCTTGTATCTCCCTTTTTTGGATGTTATTTAAATTCAATGAATTTAAGGAATTGACTCTCTATTTAATATTGTGATAGTAATATTAGAAATTTAATAAAAAAAATAAAAATAACTAACTTTATACCTTCAAAAGAAGTTTAACATGATCTTCTAAACAATTAGTATGATCATGCATTATTAAAAGATAATCTTCGTATGTTTCTCTTGGATGAATACCATTCTCAAATCTGAAGTATAATCCTCGCCATAAACTGAAAAATTACTTTTTTATGGAATTTTAATTTATGATACCTAAATATGTAAACATAATAAAATTATATATTACATGATGCATTGTGGTGCTAATTTAGGTTGAAGAACAGAACTAGTATCTTCATTGAATCGATTACATTTGTATAAAGGATTTATATATTCATGCATATTATTTGCTATATATCCCCATAAAGAGTACGTTCTTTCAGATAGTCTAAAAATAATTAAATAGAAATTAAATGATATAATAAATAAATTATTATAAATTATTATTTTAATTTATATAAATTATTATATTAAATTATTAAAAATAATACCTTAAAATTTGTCTTTCTTTTTCTGAGTTTGCTATAAAAGTACCATGTTGACAACTATGTACATGATCATGGAGAGTTATTAAGAAAAATTCATTGAATTGAAATTTATGAGGATATTGCAACAATAATTGATAAGTTGCATCAATAAATTGTGTAAAAATTGGTGCTAATTCTTTATTATCACAGTTAATATGACCACAACGATCACTAAATTTATGTCCAAAAGCCAACCAATCTTTTTCTATTAAAGCCTAGAAATAAAATAAAATATATATTTCTATATTTAAGAAATTAAATTATATATACTATAAATTTATAATTAAATCAATGATTCATATCTTACTTGGAAACCTTGAATTGTCCTATAATATGGATCTAATAATAGAGCACTTAATGAACATACTTGAGCAGTGCGATCCCAGCCATCACTGCAATGTACTACCACACTAACTCCGTTTGAAACTGCCCTAGCAATAAACCAAGCAGTTTCTAAAATAGATCGTATATGTTTTAACCATCCACTGCTTTCCAAATTATTTAAAAATGTAGTCATTGATGTCATTCTTTGTACTAAATAATAATTAAAAATATCAAAATAATAAAAAATTATAATTTGCATAGAAATTTTGAAACATTTATATGCTTACAATCTATTAATTTATTTAAGCTCGTTCTCATTACATGAATGTTTTCAATACCAAAAAAGTGAAATTTTATATTATCATAAAAGTTCTCATTTTCATATCCTTTTCCCGTAGCTCTATTAGCAAAGGCATTGATCTAAATAGATAAAATAAAAAATTAACTTTTCTTTAGATTCTATTTTCAATAGAAATTTAAAAAATTGAATAACAGAAACAAATTTTATGATAGCTTATTGAAATAATTTTTATTATAAAAATAAATTTTAATTATAAAAATATTTTAATGAATTTAACAACTCACTCGTGGTCGTGTATCTACAACATACATGTATTTAGAACTATTATTTGTACGCAAAATATTATACATTATTTGTTCATCCTCAGGACATCGTGCACTGAATCCTGATAAAGGTTGGCTACATCGACAAATAGCAGCCTATAAAATATATCATTTATAATCTGTTAATTTTTTTCAAGAGTTTTCATTTAATATATACCTTATTGGAATGTAAATATGTTAAAACTGGTAATCTTCCTCTACTTCTAAACTTTGCACTACCTATTAAGATGCTATTGGCACATGTGCTAGGTACATATAAATATTTTGGATAAGTATCGCAGAGCTAAAAATTAAATAAATAAATATATAAAATATATTTATAAATCTTATATATATATTAAATATATAACATTATATTATATATTAAATATATATAATTAACTATAGACATTAATACCTCATAATTTATATTTAAATATGTTAGAGACCATTCTTCATTTGGAACACCTTGTCTTTGAAATTCACTTTGCACATTAAAAAAATTCCATCCTGCGTGCTGTGGTAAGGTGTCCTTAATTGGCTGATAATGAAAACAATAAAGATCTTCTATACTTACTGAAAAAAAAACATATGATATTAAATAAATTTTTTAACTATAAAAATATATATTACCTGGACAAGATAATTTTGATAAGGTAAGATATATATCATGGCAATCTCGTTCTTTTGGAATGACAAATGTTACAATATAAAAATGTTTGCATTTAATGCACAATGGACAACCTGTTGTAGTTAATGGTTGTTTTTCTATATTTGCAATATGAGTATATAATATCTAAAATAAAAAATGTTAAGAATATTTACATTAATTGAAAATGAAAATGAAAAAAAAAATAAATATGTAATTATATTAAATATAGTTAAAATTTAATATAACTTATTTATTATCATACCCAAATTTTTTTCTTCCCATTTCGTTCTGTAAATATAAGATGTGTTACTGTTAAGTAAAGAGTACCAATAGAATGATTGTTACTATATTTATCTAAAATTCTGACGTTTTCTACCTAAAATCATAAAATTTGCACTTATAATGACAGATGTCATAATAGCATTATATATTGTTATAATATTAATTATCTTTCAAAGCTATCAATAAATATATATTTTATGAATTTTATTTATTAGAAATAAATATAAAAAATTTTTTAATTATTTTTATATAATTATATAAACAATTTTTTTTTCATTGATATCAATGTAGCGGCTAATAAAACATATTGGTGAATAATATATTAATAGATGTTCGAAATTATGATTTAAAATTTATTCATGAAACAACTTTGCTATACATAAGACAGATATTTATTTTGATACCTTTGGAATCTTTATTTGATCCATTTCGTTTCGTTCTTTTTCAATTGTTTATTCCTAACCATTTGATGAATTATAAATTGGGTACCACTGATCTATTATTGCAGTGTTTCTCAATGCGTTTTCATTAGACAATATAAAACAAAATACTTCTTTTGACATTAATACAATTTAGTCAAAGATTATGAAAGTTATTATATGTTTTATATAAAAAAATAATATTAATATTAATATTAATTATATTATTAACATTTTTTTATATTTAAAATTTTTTATGTATTGATCATAGATGGCAGCAAAGGAAAAAACATTATATTTTTAAAGATTATTTTATAAGTTTCGAAATAAATATTAATATATTTATGTATTTTAATATTTACTTTAATAAAAAATTATTTAATTTAATTTTAGATTAAAACTTTTTATAATTAATTATCTAAATTTTAAAATTAATAATGAGCAACAAAACTGGTAATATAAATTAATGATTTTCATATAATATAATTATCTTTAAAAAAACTATTTGTTGTAATAATTTTATTTTTATAGGAGAAATAGATCCTATACAAAAAGAATTAGCAGGTCGTGTACGTGAAGTTGGAAATCATGCAATTTGGAGTTTATCTAGTTGTAAACCTGGTTTTGGTGTAGATCAATTACGCGATGATATCACAGAAACTTATTGGCAATCTGATGGACAACTTCCACATTTGGTAAACATTCAGTTCAAAAGAAAAACAACAATTTGTGATATATGTATATATACAGATTACAAGCTAGATGAAAGTTATACTCCTAGTAGGTAGGAAATTTATATCTCTTATTAGCTGGAAATAATAAATTTTTACTTAATTATTACTGTTATCAGTAAAATATATATTATATTTTTAGAATAAGCATCAGAGCAGGCACAAACTTCAATGATCTTCAAGAAATAGAAGTCATGGATCTAAATGAACCAAGTGGCTGGGTTATTATTCCTATAAAAGATATAAATGACAGACCTATTAGAACATTTATGATACAAATAGCTGTAATAAGTAACCATCAAAACGGGCGAGATACACATATGAGGCAAATTAATGTTTATAGTCCAACACAAGATATTCTTGGACCACCTGCTTCCTATATTGCAGGTCAATTTCTTACAAATGAATTTTTGCGTTATGCTACAGTTAGATAAAAAAATAAATATTATTAATTTCTTACTATTACAAATTTGATTTTTAATTATCATCTCATATTGTTATTTTATTTCTTGAATATTAATAAAATATTCATTAAAAATTAGATGAGTAAAAATCTATATAAAATTGTATATTATATATCTATACATATATTTAAATTCAAATTCTATTATCAAGAATGAAAAAAATATAAACATACAATGTTTATCTTTATGTATACTTAAAGACTTTCCTTTTATCCATGATTTCTAGTTATGAATCAATACTCTAAGTAATAAGAATTTGAATATGATGTTGAAATTTTTGTTTATTTTAATATTAATTAATATTACAACATGTGATATATATACAAAAAAAAATTATTTTGTAAATACTGCATTTAAATATACTTCTAATTTCTTTGAAAAATTGAAGTTAAACTATGGTATAAATTTTTTAATAATAATATAAAGTTAAAATGTTATTTCTATAAATGTTATTCTATTATATTTAAAAATTTCATTTTTAGCATCAAAAGATTTTAATAATAATACATTGTCTAAAATTAATAAAAAAATTATGGAATACATTAAAAATGCATCAAAAATTTCTTTTCGTCATAAAAGAGAATTATATGAAAATTCTGAAAGAGGTAAGCATATACATTTAAAAATAATTTTAGTTTTAGAAATAACAAGTATGTGTATTTTCTTTTATAAATATTTATTTACATGATAATATTTATTTATTAATCTTATAGTTGAGTAGATTTACCACTAATACCAAACAATTCTTTAAATGCATATTGCAATGTATGTTCCATTAAATATTTTAATAATTGACCCATATCATTATGACGTCCTGAACTATTAAATGATATCTCTTGAAAATTGCTGAATTTACGCATTTCATCAATATTTTTACAATCTTCCTCTCTCTCTTCTAATTGTAATAATATTTTCTGCCAATTCATTGATTTTATCTAAAATTTTTGAAATTATGAAAATATGAAATGAAAAATTTATTAAATTAAAAAAATTGATACCTTTTGCCAACAATAAACACAATCTTCTAGAGCACCTTCCAAACAAATTACTCCAGGTTTTCCTGCCAAACAAAAACCTGTAAGGCAATTTTCTTGTGCTAAATCAATTACTTTCTTTCTTTTAAATTTACTATATATATGATGACTATAAATCCAATATCTGGAAAAATTTGTAGGTTTCTCATATTCTTTGTTCTTGTTTTTATTATTAAGTTTTTTATCTTTATTTTTATTAGATTCTGTAAGATAATTTTCACCATTATCCTGCAGCCATGATATTAACATATAAATGCAAGGTTCATTCTCCTTTTGCTGCTTAAGAATATCGTTTAATGATTGATTCAAAAGCAACTGTTGACTTCGATTGAGAAAGGAACTTCTTGCATAAATCTCTGGTTTTTCTTTAGGATAGTTAGATGATAAACTAATTAATAATTCTATTGATCCCTATGAATGAGCAAATTCTTCATTTCTAATACAGATATTGATATATTACATTGATTACAATATTTTTTTAATCTTACATCATTTAATGAAATTTCAATTGAATATTCCAATTTTTGAGGCACTTCGTTCATAGGATTTTTAATGAACTCATTAATATGAGCTAATACTCCATGATCGCCAATTACTAATTCTTTTGGATAAACAGATTGTAATGCTTCCAATTCGTAAACTTGAGCTGTTAAATTTTCACTTATTTCTTCATACGTGGACATTATTGCACGTTGAAACATATATGTAGAAGTTTATAATCTAAAAGAAAAATTAATAATAATAAGAACAGTAATTGACCATAATATTTAGTGTTATTACGACAATAAAATAAAATAAAAATGAAATAGGTTCAAAAGGTTAAAGTTATTGGTATCAGCTGATACCAAACACATGTATGTAAACAAATAAATCGATTATTAAATTGTTAAATCGATAATAATCATTTGTATTAAATCGAATTTAATTTTAAATTATTAACTTTACAGATGGTATTAATATATTTAATGGATTTCAAAACATCAATAAATTAAATTTTGAAGATGTTCAAGATATAAATTTTTTTTCTTTTCAATATGAATTTGAAACAATATGGTTTGTTGTAATTTTGGATACTTCCAAATTATCTTTATACCAAATAAATGTAATTATTATATTATTATTATATATTAATTTTATTATTTTTATAAAATCAAAATGAAAATATCGAATATTCTTATTTAAATTATTTAAATTAATTTTAGAATGGAAGTTTTTACAACATTAGTGATTATTTTGTACAAAATGGAACACAAATAATTGTAAACAGTTGTACTTATGGAGCCCTTTTTATAATTCAAAATCAAAATGGACCAATACTTATCTTAAGTTTCACTAAAATTTTAGACAAATATTATCTGCAACAAATTCAGGATTTTGAATTAAATAATACAACGCATTTATCGATATGGAATGGAATTAATCAATTACACTTAGCCATTGTTTCTCATTCAAATATTTCAATTTATACTTGGTTTAATAATTACTTTGATCTAATACAGATCATTAATATTAGTACAAAAAAAATAATTCCTTTTCAAAATAAAGGATTCATGTATTTAGCAGTAACTGGGTCTATTACATTGATTTTTAAATATTTTTTAAAATCTAATAAATTTTTAATCATACAAAGATTACCACCAAGTCAGGATGTCTCTTATTTTCAATTAAATAAACAACATTTCATGGAATATTTTTTAATTTTATCAATGAAATCTTCCATTATTATTTATAAGGAATTACACAATCGTTTTGTACCATTTCAACAAATTTCTTTTAGCAAGATTATTGTACCAATTATTTCAAATAAAGCTATTATAATCTTAACTTTACATAAAAACACCATAATAGCTTATCAATATGATGGTTGGAAATTTATAAAAATAAATACAAAATTATTTGGAATTATTCAATATAATCTAGTAACATTATATGGAAAAGAATTATTATTAATTAAAAATAAAAATAATAAATGGACATTAAAACAATTACTTTGGATTAAAAAAAAATCTTACAAAAATTTACGAGAAGAAATAAAAATATGGAATATCAATATCAAGAATAAACTTCAAAAAATAACAGAAGAAATTCCAAATTTTAAGTTAAATTTTAAAATTTTGAAGGGTCATATTGATCAACTTCAAGTTTGCAATGTAAGATCATTTAAACTTAAATAAAATAATGCCAATCTAATATTTTCATTTACAGATAAATGATTATAACTTACAAATATTGAAAAATGCATCAAAACTATACAATAGATTGATCAATAAATTTCAAGCACAAAAGATTATTATCAATAATAAGTGGCAGTCTAAAAATTTAATTGTTTCTTCATTGCATGCAAAAAAAATTCAAATAAAATGTAAAACAAATTGTAAATTCAATCGATTGTATGTAAAAGAAAATTATAATTTTCTATTCAAGTTAATAATATCAAAAAATAAAAATCAACTATCGGATTTTAAAGAATTAAATATCAAAGAAATAAAAAATTGGAAATGTCCACTTTTAAGTTTTGCAATAAAAGATATTATTATTCACAAGTTGATTAATGGAATATCTTTAAATTATTTACAAAAAAATGCTCTGAAAATAATTAATGATCAAGAAATCTTTGGTAATACATTTTTTTTAATAATTAAAAAAATACTATAAATATTTTATAATAATTATAAAATAAGAGATATATGTTAAAAATAATTTATGATATATATGTTTTAGGAAAACATATTTTTATTAATATGAAGGCAATAAATGTTTCTATGCCATTAAATATTGCTACTTATTTTACAAATCAAGAAATAAGATTAAAAGAGATAAAAGTTAAACAATTAAACTTAATAACTGGTGGAATTTTATTACCATTAAATAGTTTATCCACAACAGTTATTAATTTCATCAAAACACCTCAATTAAAAATAAAGAATAACATTTCTTTAAAAGGAAAACAAACTGGGAAAGGATCAATAAGATTAGGACCTGTAATAGATATTACTAAATCCATGAATTTGTATAATAATTTCAGTTTAGAAAATGTTAAAATTGAGAATTTGAAATCTATAGATTTAATTACCAAAACAGGATCAATCAAAAATACTTTATCAAATGCAATAACTTTATATGATAATGTACCAATATCTTTAATTCTTTCAAGTGAAAAAATGGTAAAAAAAAAAAAAAAATAATATAAATTTTTATTAATAATTTTTATAATATATTTTTATAATAATAATTAAAAATAATTTGAATTTTAATTTAGAAATGGAGCAATATTACATTACATAGTCCTAAAAAATGGATTACTGTGAATTTTCAAAATATTAGTATTATATCAGGAAAAAAGCATATTTTTCATAATATACAGATAACAAAGTTTTCTTATGACAATTTAAAATTTTCATTGTATGTTTATTTAATATTTATGATAATTAAAAATTTAATAATATAAAATAAATATACTTAAGTAACATTCTCTTATTTAAAGGAATAAGAATTATTTATTCTTAAAGGACTCAAAATTATGTGCCACTTTTATTTTTGCACCAAAAATTAGAACTTTATTTTTAACAGGGAATAATATTACTGTACAAAAATTAATCAGTTCGCACGTTTTTGGAAATATAGGTCTATATTCTACTAATAATTCAACAATTTCTTTCAACCCTGTTTTATCTGAAAAGAAATACTGTCATAATGTCATTGCAAAAAATATATTTGCGTTACAGCTGAATAATTTAAATTTAACAGGTAAATAATAAAAAAAATAAAAATAATTTTTTATATACTATTATATTAAATATATTAAACATAAAATATAATATTATATTTTATGTTCAATATTATAATTTAATATTATCATTCAATAGATTATTATTATAATATTATATATTATATTTTTATACTAATAATTTATTTTTTAATTATACAGATTTGAAAAGACTTGTAAATATATGGATTGAGCCTAATTTTCTTAATACTTCAATAAATACTATAAACTTGATAACAAATATTCTTCGACCACCTCTTCAATTTTATATAGAAATGCCTAAAATAATAAAAAATATAATATTTCAACAAAATGTTCTTGTAAATAACATTAATGGAATAAATTTCAGCAATTTCTTGTTGAATACTATAAAATTTAATGATATGGTATCTATGCAAAATATAACATTTCGTAAGTTATAAACTTTCTTTTTTATTCATTATTTCATATTCATTTTTATATATTTATTATTTATTATTGTTTTAGTTATTTAGTTATTATAATTCTATTTTAGGTAATGGTATCAGTACAAATGATATATATGTTTCTCATCCTCCATTCAATTTAATAAATATAAAAAAAGATTTTAATCTTTATAAAAAAAGAATTTCTGGAAACATAGAAGTAAATGCAATAAATTTACCATATGTTTTTAAAATCATTGAAAACAAAACTCTAGTTGATATTTGCATTATGGGATCTGTAAAATTTTGTTATGAACCAATCATAAAAAATATAAATGATATCAAATTAAAAAAATTATCTTCAGAAATTTGGATGGTAACAAATACTATAACAATACTTCATGGAAAAAATATGCATTTTCATGATATAATGATAAAAAAATATGTTGCTTTAAATGTAAGCAATAAAATTAATATGTATATTTTATCTTAATAATACAATAATATAAAATATTTAAATTTAATATAATTAATAATTTTATATTAAATTATTAAATTTAATATAATAAAATTAAATTAATAAAATAATGATCAATTTTTAGAATTTAACAAATACATTAAGCTTCAAAATGTGGAACAATATTTTGAAATCTATTTTAAGTAAAACAAAATTACAGGAAATAGAATTTCCTGCATCTTTTAATGATATCAAAATTTCTAACATTGTAAGTTCAAATATTTCAACTATAATATCTTCATTATCAGATTTCAATAATATACTTAAAAATTCTTTGCTAAAAAATAAAGATCAAGAAGTGAAGACAAAATGGATATTCAATAAATTAAAAATTTCAGGTAATAATAATTATATAATTATATAAAAGAAAAATTAAATATCTTTCTTTTATTGATTTTTAAATAATTATAATAAATCTTATATTTATAAGATACAGGAAACTTGCATATAAAGCAAACAATTAATAATCTATATCTTAAAAGTGATATTATGAAATATAATTCCAAAGAAAATATTGTAACTGGAAAAAAAAAAGTTTTAGCTTTGATAGTTGAGAATTTAAATGGTTACAATTTTAATAAATGGACAACTAATGCTTTAATGCAAACAAAAAAAGATATAATCATCGAAGGACGAAAAAAATTTAGTATCGTTACATTCAACAATATAAAGTAATGAATAAATTTAATTTATCATTAACTTATCATTAATTATTAATTTAATAAAAAAAATAATTAATTTAATAAAAATTAATATTGATTATATAGAATGTCTAGAACTATAATGGGCTATGCTATAGAAAAGGTATTAAGAAAATCTACAAATCAAATAATCTATAGCCAAAAAACAATTCAAGGTTTTATCAGTGCATCTGAGTTTATTATTAATGGCTTAATAAATGATGTAAATTTGACTAAACTAGTACATCATCAATTAAAAAAAAATAATTCTCTTCAAACAATAAGAACAGGAATTGAGTTACATAATAACTTAAATATTATTGGAAATCTTACAATCAAAGGTGCTTATGAAAAATCAGAAATGAAAATTTTTGATAGAAATTACTCAAATGCCCAAACTATTATTAAAAGGATGAAAAAATTTATAAGGACTGCAGAAATAATTAATATAGCTTTACAAAGTATTTTTTCATTTTCATTATTTTTTTTTTTTTATTAAAAAAAAATCTTTGAAATAAATATTTTAATATTTGGTTGTCATTACAGATCGAGCAATTTATATAAATAAATTGGAGATTATAAATGACACTATCAATGTTTTTAATAAATCTATGATTATTCACTATAATGCAGTACAATGTAATTCTAAAAAGTTTTCTTCATATTGTATCAGTAAATATGCGAAAGAATTTATTTTTCAAACAAATATCGGCAATTTTATATTGCTACAATCAATAATGATAGACGAAAAAGAATTCATTGTCCTTGTAAAATTTAATTCCATATCCATATATTCATTTATTAACGTAGGAAATAATTTTGTTCATTTAAAAGGTTTGTATACTTATTTAATTTTAATTTATCTTTAAAATGTGTATCTTGTCAAAATAATTTTAACTCTTACTCGAATCATTATCGAATTATTGAATCATTATTTAAATATCAATTTTATCTCCGAATTATCTTTGAATATTTATAATTTTTGATTTATTATTGAAAAATATATTGATTTAATTTTTATATCAGTACTCTTAAAAATATAAAGAATAATTTATATAATCAATAGGTAATAAATAAATATTGTTTTTTATTTGAATTTCTTTAAATTTTAGGCTTTTATTTTTTAAAATAAAATAATGTTGTAAAATATCACAAATAATACTGCATTAAAATTAATACTAGTTTTTTAGAAAAAGAAGAAAATTGTGTAATTTATTCATTTACATACAAAAAATGTACAATTTAAAATATTCTCTCTAAATAAATATAACATTATTTTAAATTACAATTGAATACGTGCATAGTATATAAATGCTTTACAGATTGCTGTTAATAATCTAAAAATAATAAAAATAATGAAAAATTATAACAATGTAATATATTTAATTAAAATTTCAGATTTATATTTTCCCAACATAATGGATGCGTTTGTGGAACAAAAGTGGCATGGATTTGGATTATGGATTATCTTGCGATTGACTTCACAGACTCTAGTATTACTTTATCAACCAAGGGGGAATATACAACAATATATTTTGCCTGTTACGGACGTATTTTTAATAAATAAATCTCCGAATGATCAACTTTTATTACTACTATCAAATGGTATATGGGATCTTGAAGGATTAGCTAGTCCTCGTAATATCATTGAGATTCCCCTCAAAGGAAGAATAGAAACTGTTGTTGATAGATTCAATTATTATGTAAAGTGTATTTCAAAAAATGAAACATCTTTGATGAAAGCTCGATATGTATGAAATTAAAGATTGTTAAATTAATTCATTATAACTTTGTAAACACAGTTGAAAAATTTTAATGAAAACTTATTGTTAATTATTAAATGTTTCAATGATGATTTTGATATTTAATATATCTATAGTAAATGATGTATAATTATCGTTATGTGATATAAAGAAGTTATATGATAAGTTATTTCGTTAATTCTTGATATTTTAATAATAATTTGGAAGTTTAATATTTAGTAATTAATGTATAATTATCATTATTTAGCCTAGAATGTAATAAAATAGAATTTTTCAAAATTGTATAAAAGTATTAAATCCCGTAATTGTAGAAAAATTTTTACAACAGTAACATGTTGTTTTAACTTATCAGATATTGACTGTAGTAAATTTTCAATAATTTCAATTTTATAAAAGCTTATAAAAGAATCCAAATAGTTTTTCAAACATTCTTCAACTAATTATTAGTATTATTATTATTATTATTATTATTATTATTATTACGTTTATTAGTAAAATACGGTCCAGTAGCAACAGTGGTAGATATCGTCATCTGAGAAAAGTAAAAAAATTATTTTTAAAATAATTTTTTATATTAAAAAAAAAGCATTAATAATTAAAAAGCATTAATAAAGCATTAAATTAAAATACAAACTCTTGCCGCTTTCTTAATTACGGTGACATCTTCAGGTTTTGCCTTGGGATCTGCATTTGTCTTTTTCTTTTCTTCCACTTTAAATAGTTTCTATAAAATAAATATTTTTTAATATATTACATAATTTAATTTTTTAAGTAAAAAAACAAGATTAAAAATTATTGATTTAAAACTAGAAATTTGTGCAAATTCATATTTATATTATTATTATTAATATTCTCACTGGATCTTTCGCAGAAAATTTCTCTTCGAACTTTTTCTTCTCTTGTATTGCATTATTAAGAGCTGCTTGTTCAGCGGGTGTAAGAATCAAAAGTCTAGGATCCATAGCGATCCACTCGCTGTTGATGACCTGATCCATCTTCCATCGTTTTGAGACATCAGGTTCTAGGAGACGAGCTACTAATTTCTTCACTTGATCGCTCAAAGTTTCTGCAATCTTACTGCGAAACTTCCATTTACGGTTTGTTTGTTGCTCATATAATCGTTTGATATCAGTATCATCGAATGGCATCGATTTATTTAATAGAATATACAAGATGACTCCGAGAGACCAAAGATCTGCGATCTTGGGATTATATGGAGATGCACGAAGAATCTCCGGGGCGGCATAGGATAAAGAACCGCAATAGGTATCGCTCATAACACGCTTACCTCGATTATCTATTACGTAACGAGCAAATCCGAAATCAGCAAGTTTTACATTAAGATTCGATGTTAGAAGAACATTTTCGCATTTCATATCTCTGTGAGCGATTTCCATTTCATGTAAATATTGAAGACCTGAAAAAAATAATAAAATCATCAGTAAAAATTTTATTATTAAATTATATTAAATTAAAATATTAAATTATATATAATTTTATATAATTCGAAGTATAACATTTTCTAACAGTATATAAAATAATATTACATATTTATTTTTATTGAAATAAATTATTATATTTTTAAATAAAGAATCATTAAAATTTCATGAAAATATTTATATTTATCAAATTATTATAAAATTTGATAAATATAATTTTCATTATAATATATTTAAAAATATATTTTAGTTTTCATTGTCATATATTATGGTACCAAGCGCAAGTTGACGAAACCATACGCGCGCTTGTCCTTCTGCAACCGCACCATTCTTCAAAATGAATTCTAGGAGATCACCGTTTTCAGCATAACGCATAAATATATAATATTTAGTACGTCTTTGAAATATGCTATGAACATGCACTACATGAGGGTGATTCAATTTCACTAAGATATCAAGTTCTCGAGGAAGAAATTTTCGTACAAAATCCTTAGGTGCTACTCCTGTATCTATAACTTTACATGCCAAGGTACTATTTTTGTCTGGATCAGATTCCGGTTTATACTCTGCCAGATATACCTACGATTAAATAACGTGATGAATTTTATGTAATATTAATTGAAGAAAAATTGAAGAATTTTATTTGATTATAGGATTCAAATTTAAATATAGAAAATGACTTTACCGACTGAGATGAAAAAGAATTTGAATTTTATCATCTTTTTTATGAATTGGTTACCGTATCATTTTATAATATGATTTATGAGATGGTTAATTAACCTTTGCGTAAGCACCTTCACCCAGCTTTTTTAAGAATTTATAACCGCGAGCGAATAAAACTGCCTCCTCGGATGAAGTCTGACTCAAACTCGTCATGAGATTTCACAATCCACAAGTGACATCCTACTGGTTCTATTATCATAACTTATAATTATTTCATTTTTTGTCATAAAAAAAATATATTATTATTTTATTATTAAATTTATGTTTCTTATTTCGTTTCTATAATTTTATCTTATTATTTAATAATATATATCATAATGGTTAGGTAATTGCTGATTAAAATTAATAAAAATTAATATTACATTAATATTAAAAAATTTTTTCAAATTATTAATATATTTTATAACTATTGTTATATTTTGTCATAATTTAGAATTATTTTTTTCACTTACTTTTATTTACCAAGCAAGATTGTAATAAAATAGAGTTTTGACAATGAAAATACCAATTATTTAATCATTTTATCTAATTAAATATCATTAAATATAAAGCATGATAACAAAATTTATGTCCATTCCTACTTTATATTATTTTAAACATTTGTGAAATAATTTGTTAAGGAATTAAAAAGGAGCAAAAGAAAGTAAAACGTTAATTAGGGAATAAGTTGAATAAAAACTAATAGTTCGTGTTTTATTAATATGTAATTGAAGTTTAAATAACGGATGTGAAACTAAATCGAGATATATCGACATATTTAACATGCCAACTTCGAGAGAATTGATCAATCTTTCTTCCGTAATCATAATCAGAAGAAAGAAATAACGTAAGTATAGTATGGTCATTTCTTAAAATTTCATTATTAAAATGTTCATAAAGTATATTTGATATGCTCTTATGATTATTTAAGATTTTATCTATTGAATAAATATATAAAAATTATATTTTTTTATTTAATGTTTAAATATGTCTAATAAATATCAAAGGCACGTGTTTTGAGGTTAAAAAATATCTGTTAGATATTTTTTTCTATCAAATAATTAATTATTTCTTTAAAAAAATTGTATTTTTAAACATTAAATTAATGAAAAATAATTTTATTAAATACAATTTTATAATTTTTTATAATTTTTTGTTTAATAAATATGAAATTTTTTCTGTTACTTTTGATCAGAATGGCGGACACTGCTCCAGCCGCGCGTGGAGGTTTTCGTGGAGGATTTGGTTCTCGTGGAGGAGGTGACCGTGGAGGTCCAAGAGGTAGAGGTCGTGGAGGTCGAGGACGAGGTCGTGGTCGTGGACGTGGCAAAGAAGACAGTAAAGAATGGATTCCAGTGACTAAACTTGGACGTCTTGTTAGAGATGGAAAAATTGAATCCTTGGAACATATTTATCTTTTTTCTTTACCAATCAAAGAATATGAAATTATTGATAAATTTCTTGGTGTTGAATTGAAAGATGAAGTATTAAAAATCATGCCTGTACAAAAACAGACTAGAGCTGGTCAACGTACACGTTTCAAAGTAACATTATATATTTGATTAATAAAACTATTAATCAAATAAAAATTTAACTAATAATTCACTTTTATTTTATAGGCTTTTGTAGCTATTGGTGACTACAAAGGTCACATTGGTTTAGGCGTAAAATGTTCTAAGGAAGTAGCCACTGCTATCCGTGGTGCTATCATTTTGGCTAAACTTTCAGTTGTGCCAGTACGCCGTGGTTATTGGGGAAATAAAATTGGTGATCCTCATACAGTGCCCTGTAAAGTTACTGGCAAGTGTGGATCAGTTCAGGTGCGTCTAATTCCAGCACCAAGAGGTACAGGTATTGTTTCAGCTCCTGTGCCTAAAAAACTATTACAAATGGCTGGTATTGAGGATTGTTATACTTCGGCTAGAGGATCCACATGTACTCTTGGCAATTTTGCTAAAGCTACTTATGCAGCTATTGCCAAAACTTATGCATATTTAACACCAGATCTCTGGCATGATCAAGCATTAAGAAAAGCGCCATATCAAGAATTTGCGGATTATTTATCTAAGAATCACAGAGTTGTGGGTGGACAGAGACCTGCTGAGGTTGTTTAAACAATAAACCTCCATGCAAAGTATCTAATTGTAATTATTTTCCCTTTTATTTCCTATTCCTCATTTTTTAATTAATATTTTAGGTATATTTAGATATTATATCATATAGGTAATAGGTATTTTGTAGGTAATAAATCGAACACAATTGTACTATAATTTATTTTATTTTTATTTAAACAAAATAATTTATCTATATGCTATCTATAGATGTATTTTTGGAAGTCTTAAACTGATCATAAGCATTATTAAAACTTTCTAAAGTGTGATCACAAATTTTTTCAAAATCTTCTAATCCTTTCTTTAATATGTCTATTGCTTTTCCTCTTTTTGCTTGAATTCTTAAGTATATGTTTCCTTCTGCTGGATGATTAACGAAACAAGCACAAAATTCTACATTAGGACTATATACAAAATAATTAGTAATTATATAAAATTTATATTGCTAAAGTTATGTTTTAATTAATATATAAATATACTTTTGTGAAATTACGGAGACTAATGAATTTCCTAAAGTATAACCTTCACCCATAAATACAAAAGTTTTACATTTTTCGGATGATTGTTCGCTAGCTACCTGTAAATAAAATTCTATTTAACTTTTATTTCTTACATTGCAAAATATAAGATTTAATTTTATTATATTAATTATATTAATGAATTATATTGTACCTCTGCTAACCGACCCATTTTATCGTTTATTTTTTAAACAAATTATTATAAAGTAAAATATTAAATTTTATTAATTTTTTTTATTTAATATTATTTAATATTAAGAGAAACTATTATTATTTAATATTTAAAATGTTTATTTATTATTACGTTATATAATGTCAAATTATTAAATTTGTTCTCATGTGTACATGTTTATGTCGTTTGTCACACTATAATCTATTGTAATTATTGTATATACATAACCTTACTTTATATTTATATGTTATATATAGTTAGTAGTAAATTATATTTAAGGTAGGCTTATTTATTTTAATAAAAAATATTAAATAGAAATGTCTTTAATTATCTCTCAAAAAAATATTATAATTTATAATTTAAATAAATTGAAAAAATATTTTATATTTTGCATAATATAATATTTAGTGAAATAATAATTAACCTAATATTTCATCTTTTTACTTTTAATAGCTAATAATAATTCTGCATTATTGTAAAAAAATATAAAATTATAAAAAAATATAAATATTGTGAATAAATAGAAGGAAATGCAGAAAATGTCTTTAAAAAAAATAATCTTCAATATATCGAGTTTAAAATTTCAAAATATGAATATAAGATATTATTGTTCAAATAAGATTCTTGAATCCGCTGAAGAAAAGCCAATCTATTTAGAAGAAACAAAAGATAATTCTGAGCTAGAAAAAAAAAGAAATAAATCAAGATTATCATTTGCTGATAGAAATAGATTGTTTGAACAAAAACCTTACAATGAACCTATAGAATGGTATCATAATACAATTAAATACAAGAAACGAATATTAGGAAGATATGGAATGGCAGCTTTAGGAATACCTGCAGGATTGGCATGGCCTACACTTGAAGAAGTAGAAGAACAAAAAGAATATGAAAAAATTGCTTTTCCTTTAAGTATCCAAGAAAGATTACAAAAGATTAAAGAGGAAAAGAAAAAGAAAGAAGAGATTTTAAAAGCTAGGTATGTTAATAAAATAGTTAGATTGATTGATAAAAGATTTAAATGTATATTTATATTTTATATGTTTGTAGACAAATACAAATAGCTAATAAAATGTCAGGTATGGAAAAATTGATAGCACAAATAAAAACAAAAATTGCTGAAAAAGAAGCAGCAGAATTAGAATCTAAAGAACGAAAAGAACGTAAAATTGAAGAAATCAGACGTCAGTTGATAGCTGAAGGAACTATTTCCAAACATTCACTAACAGAGGCAATAACTTTAGCAGAGAAAGATGAGAAAAAGAAAAAGAAGGAACTTAAGAAAGCAAAGATGTTGGAAAGACAAAAAAGATTAGCAGAACAATTAATTCAAGCACAACAGCAAAATGAAGATCTTGAAGCTGAAAATAAAAATGAAGCTGATTCTAAAAAATAATAATTAAAAATTTACGAAATAGACAGTTTGATGAAAACGTATTGTATTGTAAAATAATTTCTACATAGTAAAATGAACGCTTTACAAACATTCATTGTTAGTTAAATCTTCTCAGTATATAAAACTTCCAAAGTAATCGGAATTTAAAAGAATAATAATATTTACAGCTCATAGAGTAAATATTGTATTTACTTTTGCTAATACAAAAAACGGTACATATTATTTTGTAAGGGCTAAAAGAAAACTATACTAATGCGTAGTATTAAATGACTCCTTAAAACATATCCAGGCACAATGAAGTAATAATATGTAGCTTTTCATTCAGCTTTATTCACGTATATGTTTTGAGAATCTTGAAAAAGTTTAATAACCTTTTTATTTTGGTTTCTATATAAATCTTGTCATAACATTATTAGAAAAGTCAGCTTTCGACCATTGACTCTTGAAATTCTTCTTGAAATTCTTTTTTATCAATAACACTGTAAATGTCTTCTTCGTTTTCCACTTGATTGCAATCCTGAATATTTTGCACATGCAGTTCGTCAATAACAATAAATCGCAGTTTATTTTTCTCTATATGTCAGGCAGATTGAATTTGTGATGGAGATGATAATTCATAAAACTGAAAACTTAATTCCTCTCCAAAAAGATTTTCAGGTGTGATAATTTCTGGCTCAATCATGTTTAGACCTAAAGCAGTAGGATTTAAGTCTGTAACTAGATATCCTTCACTTATTAGTCCGCATTCTTCTGCGACTACTTCTTTTGATACTGGATTGAGAAAATCTAAAAATATGTATTAAAAGTTGAATTTAGTTATATAATTTTAATCTTTTATTTAATTAATTAGATTACCACTCTCTTTCACAGGATAATGAAGCTCTTGCGTTTGTTGATTAGGATGGGTTGATTCGTTATTGGACACCATCATGGGAACAAGATATTGTACTTCTACTTCTTTTTTAATACCACTAAGAATTTCTTCAGCACAATGCTCTAATGTTACAGAATTTACTATGTTCTCAGTCTCTTCTTCATTAGACTGTTGTGTAATGCTAGCAGTTGCTGCTTCTACTTCATCTATTGGATTCATTTGACTGAAAATATATTCATATAAATAACAACATACATAACAAAATAATTTTTCAAATAATATAAGAGTAGCAATTGACTACCTGACATTTTTCCTCAGATTTTCAATCTCTATATTGTTCTTGCTTATTTGTTTCGTAGAAGAATTAATGATAGAATTATTAATGGTTTGTCTGGGTCTGGAATCTCCAGAGCGGTTTGCAATAGCCCATAAGTGTCCAGCTCCATGTGGTGCTTTTGATCCTTTCCTGAAGTGTGGATTTATGGATAGATTGTGTCGAACAGAGTTTTTCCAACGATCGTCATTACTTTTGTAGTACGGAAAATGTTCTCTAAAAATATATTTAAATTTATATTTAATTAATTTTTTATGATATAAGTAGACAAAAAAATTGACAGGGAAAGCTAATGGATTATAAAAAAAGTATAATTTTATTAGTTACTCTTAGAATAATAAATAAATTTAAATAATAAAAAATGTTTAAATAATTCCTATCTATTCAATATCGGTAAGTCTATATCCCCACGAGAATAATTTTTTTTTCCTGCGATTTACGGCGATATCACAACATTGTATATATTCGTCATAAGTATTACTCCTCTAATTAATTTTCCAGCTTTTGGAAAAAAAAAGATTAATGGAACGCTTTATAAATTTAATAATAGTTTTATCTGTTCTAATAACTGTTCTAATAATCATGTAACAAAAATAATTCATTCAATTCCATAATTTTAATTCATTTTTATTACTGTTCAGTTTGGAATTAAAAAAATATAATAGTTGACAAATATTTTTTTTAATTATATAAATATAAATTGTTTGATATATATTATAATATAAAGAAAAGATGAGAAAAGAGAAAGGAGAAAATATTAAATTTTTTTTTATGTTCTATTTCTATTATTATTAAATATTTAATTATATAAATAAATACTATTACTACTAAACATATGCTCAAATATCAAAAATAATCAAATAAATTCGTATTTTGCGAACTTTATATATTATATTATATTTAATTTATACGAATTCCTTTGCGAATTAATAATATTTAAATATTCTAATTTTTAATAATTAATCGGAACGTATATTTTGTACATCGTTTTTCTCAGAATCGTAAAAAATGTACGAAACGAAACGTTTCTATAAATTTACGAGAACTGTATTTTATGTTGATGCGGGGGTGGTCTATTGGGGAGACTCGTGTTCTTAGATGGTACCCCTTGGCACCGCTGCCCTCGCTACATGATGGTACCAGTTGGTACCGGTTCTTTCATTTGTTCCAACCCTCTCCCTCTCCCAATAACACGACGTGCGCACTTTACTACCTCCATGCTTTCACCTGTTCGATCGTGGGTTCGTGAAATATATATAGATAAAATACAGATAATGAAATTGAACTTATTTTTAATGCTTTTCTTAAAATATTTTAAATAAATTTTATTTTTTTCTATATTATATCGATAGAATCTATAAAATTATTTGAAATTTCTATATATCATATGTACCATTCCCTATCTAGTTTTAATAAAATATTTATAAAATTTATTATTTATAGAAAAAGTTAAAATTTATAATAGATCGTTATTTAAGTTCTGCAGATATTTTGCAGTACAATATTTATTAATTCATTTCATTTCATTTCATTTTAATTTATTTTCTTAATTTAATTAACTTAATTAAATAATATTTATTATTTTAATTAATCAATTCTTTATATTTTATAGTATATTTTATAATATATTCTAGAGTTGAATTTCATTTAGCTAAAAACGAAATAGTGATTGATTACAATTTTTCAAATATTTAAATTATTTTTTCAAATTATTGTATTGGATAAAATAAAAAAAAAAGTGATAATATTTGGAAAATGAATTTCTTATTTTAAATTTTATTTTGAAGCTAGACAAGTATGTGAATGTCTGTCTTTTAATTTTTTACCAATGAATTTTGTGTTTTACATCAACGAATTTATTATAATATAATATAATAATATAATATAATATATATATTAATATAAAATAATGTATATATAATGTATATATATAATAAATTGACGTATAACATAAATTTAATATAATGTATCATTTAAAATCTAACGAAATTAATTAAATGAATTTTATAATTAATTTAATAAATTCATGATATCAAAAAAAAATTTCGATAATAATAAATATCAATGATCAACTTAATATTTTTTTATGTCATAATATATAATTTAATCTCATATTAAATTTTAAAAATTTGTAATATAAAGTACTACAATCACGTCATAACATTGTTTTAAAGTACTTACGAGATCCACTGGTAAATAGCTGATACCGTAAGCTCTCCCCTTTCTCGCAGAGCGTGTTCAATCAGTTCTGTATATGTGAAAGGCGGTTTCTTTGGGCCATTACACCGGGAAGACGCGAAATTTCTATTGTCGAGGCTAGAATAATTATGATTTGATTCCTGATGCAACGATCCATTCTCGTTGCAACTTCTTTTAGCATCGTTAATGTAGGCAGATCCATAAGAACGTCCATTCATCCTTGCTTTGTTTCCTAAATAAGAAAAGTAAACAATTTCTTAAAATCATATAGTAAATAATTCTAGAAATAGAATTAATCTTTTGTGTTCAATGTTCATATATCATTTTTTCTCAATGTTCATATATCTTTATTCTATATTTTATAATAATTCAAATCAAGAATCAATTTTATTTTGTTAAGAATTTTGTAAAAAATAAAATAATATGATTAAAGGACTCATTAAAAAAGCTTGTTGAACATCTTCGCACCATTGTGAATATCTTTGGATAAAGATACAGTGGACTTCTCGTCTGCGGCTTCGATAAAAGGATCCAACTTAAAATCCAGTAACCAGGAAAGATTTCCAGTTTCTTGATCATCAAACTGTTGCTGCTGATTACTACCAGAAGGCATCATGGGCTTATTTTGTTGTATATTGGATGATTGGACTGTGACAACTGGTTCCCAATAATCACAATCAATGGGATAACTCGTTTCTTCGATTTGAACCTCCTGTATCACCTGTTCTTGTCTATTTTCCGACGATGAAGTAGATGTAGATGGTGAAGCCGTAATATCAGCGATATTTTGCTGCGATTCCAATTCTGAGACGGTTGTCCAGGTACAATTAGTGCCATCCACGAGAAGGACTTCCAATCGACCGACTGAACACTCATCTACAGCTTCTTGAGCCGATAACGGTGAGAATAAGGATGCAGTGTCGTTTATCACTTGATTGGAGGCAACCATTTCCATTGGAGTCTCGATTTCTTGATATTGATATCGTTTATGACCGTTTTGAACCTCTTCGCAAAAATTCTCGATATCCAAATCCTCGAAAATACGCTTCTTTCCGCCACGGGATTGATTATCTGATAACTCGTGTTCTGGGACATCACCGATGCCAGCAGATGGCCCGATCATGCTATTAAAAAAGAAGTTTTATTTTATTAATAATTAAATATAAATAAATTAAATATTAATTAAATATTTAATTTAATTATATTAATTAAAACATAGAAGTTATATTAATATTTGTATTATAAAATTTAATTAATTTGAACTTTATTTATAATAAAATTTGATTTTATAAATTTAATTTTTTTCAAGTTGTATTTCTATTATCTAAATATATTGCTTAATATTTTTAAAATGTAATATATGTATATATATAATTAGAAATACAAATTGATTGTTTAAATTCATTTCTTCGATATAAAATAATTTATTTATTGAATATTAAAAATTATTATAGCCACTAAATTTCTATAGTTTCAAATATTACTATATATTTATGAACAAATATTTAATGGAATCTTAATGCGAAATTTTATTAATAAAACGAAAAATCATAAACAAAAAGAAAAAATTAAAGGACTTTTATTATATAAGCAACTTCAGTTTATGAACCTGGTTATCTCTCGACAGGTTCTTTTTCTTCATTCTATTGAAATAAAATGATCGATTAATTGAAATCTTGTCAATTAAATCTACTTAACTCTAAACTTTTATTATTAGAACAAGAAATCATATATACTCAAAGAAAAAATTAGAAAATTTCTATTATATAAACTGTTCTTTTCCTAATTTACATATATATATACTATATACATTTCAAGTTTTTTTTTCAAAAGTCAATAAAGAAAATCTTTATAAAATTGAATACTTGGAAGATATCGAATATGTTTTTATATCGGTTCAAAATTGTTTAGCATTGTCATATGCAATACTATATATATCGTCATTCTTATTTCATTTCATAACAAAAAATTAATTATAATATAAATGCGTTTAAAGTTATATTATTTTATAATTTTTTAACTTTGATCTAATTTTTATTCATTTAAGAATTTATAAAATCACATAGACAAGATCGAATTAAAATCGATTCATTGCATTCGTCAAGATATATACTATGAAAATTTACAAAATAATTAACAGAACAATATTCTCTATTAATAAATACATCTATAAAATTAATAAATTTTAAAAATAATATTTTGATCATTTTTATTCATATTATGGAGAAAAATCATTTTATATAAAATAATTATCATATAAATAATTAATTATATAAAATAATATTATTAAAATTCTAAGGGTATTTAAAATTATTTGTTTGCATTTTTCTTTTTATTTTGAATATTTATATAAATATAAACTACTAGATTATTATAAATATAAACTACTAGCAAATAATAAATCCCAATTTTATTTTATTTTCCATTTTATTAACTATATTAAAATTTCATTGTGAAATTTCATTCTTAAGATTTTTGTTTTATTTTAATTTCTTTTATATTTAATTTATAATTTTTTTTCAATAATATAATAATATAAATAAAATAATATAATTAATAATAAAAAGACATTTTAATGAAATAAATAAAAAAATATCTTTTTCAAAATGTTGTAAATTATCATTTAGATTAAATAATTAATAATACCATAAAATATATAATTAAAATTTTCTAAAATAGAAATGAAATATAAAGAATATAAAGAAAAAATACAAATAAAAAAAAAGTAAAAAATATAAATCGATAATAAAATAAATGAAAATAATTTCAAACTCGAATAATGAATTTTAAAAAATTTTTTTTATTTTTATTTTTCAATATTCATAAATATTTATGAAAATATAAAAATAATATGAAATATATCAAATATATCAAATATCAATTTGCTCCAATTGATTGTAATGTCATATATAAGAATTCATATACATACCTCAATTCTCTCAGTGTTTCGATTTCGTCGAGTTCAAACCGATTATTCCACGATCGCCGAAACGGAACTATTAATCGTACAATAAGTTCCAACTTTCATCACGATGCCCTAATGTCTACAAAAAAATAATTTCTCAAGAATTTTGAACGTTTCATCGATGTCTGAGTTCGCTTTTCTTTAAAAAAGAACTTTGGATTATTAGTAAAAGAACTCGCGACTAAAGAATGTAGCCACTGGTTTACGCAATTCAAAGATGTTTCATTGCAGACCACATTCTCGTTTTCAATCGACACCGATTTCTTTTCGTTCACTTTGTACGTAAATTCACCTTGCGATCGGACGTTTTTGGAATATCTACATGATCAACTTCGGACCACGACTGTCTTCTCTTTCGTATTTCAACTGTTACGCGGTGTAATGCGTGCGCATCTCCAAGTTTTGATCGGAATGGAAGGGACATGGACGCATGCGTGATGCGATAATAGAAAAGTACTCAAGAGCACTTGCATAAAAGAAACAGAAAATTTCTATTATACATTAAATTTTTATATCATTCTGTGGCAATATCTCAAATAATTTATATATCAATTAGGATTACTTATATATAGGAAATAGGATTATTTATATATATAGAAAATATAAATTTGATTTTATTATTCATTATTCATAACAGTGAAGAATATATATGTAAATTAAAAAAATATAAAATTAAAAAAATATTGAATACATAGAAATATAATATTAATAAATATAGAAGTGATAATATAAATATATTAAAAATCAATAAAATTTATTTTTAAAATTTTTTTTGATAATAAATTTGTTTTTATTTTTTTTCAATGTGTTATGAAAATTATTTGTTTAATAAGAAAATATAATTTAAAATTCCCGCATTTTTTGTTTCTATTTTATAATTACTATATGTATGTGTAACATAGAAGATAAAAATTTTTTTATTTCGTATCTATTTTATTTTTAAATATTAAACTGTTAATAATCAATAATTATTTATCGAAATTTTAATTCCTGATAATTATTGATATAATTATTCACAAAAATTAAAATTTTAAATCTTCTAATTTAAAATAATTCTATAATTTTATTGCGTAGAATGCATTTTTTAGAAAAAACAGAAAATATATTTTATATTTTAATTAAAATATATTATCAAAAATTAATAATAATTAAAATTCGTGCAATCTAGATTGCATTTATATAACGAACGACTGATTTCGTGAAAAATAGAATCGTTTTGCATATTTATTTATCTATTATAAAAACTCGCTGACTAGTAGCGTTCAAGGTCAAGGTAATATCGCATTATAAAGGGACGAAAATTATTAGACGCGAATTCTACCATCTACGAAGTGTATATATTCATAATTATTATATTTTTTGTATAGAGTGTACAGTATAGATGCATGCACCTACTGCGCACGGATGAACGTCATAAAGAATGACATTTAAAATTTGCTGTTAAAGATCAAACGATAACAGAACGCGTCTCACGGTTCCGTACGTGTGACAGTTGTGTTACATGGAGTATTGAACGAGGGAGAAAACGCATCATGAACATGGACAACGTGGACCAGCATTTGATTCACCAGTTTAGTTGTCTAGGCACCACCGACAAGGACGATCTGGTGAAACAGCTGCAGAAGTTGCTGGCTGGTAGCCAGCTAAATGAAACTACTGCTGCGTTCTTTCTGGATATGAATAATTGGTGAGATACACTATCGCGTACTCGTTTTGTGTTAATCAAATTTAATTTTGCAACCTAACCCTACCATCGCCATATTTATAATCTAGGTAGTACTATCTTGTCGAAAGTTACTTATTTATCTTGATGTCTCATAATTACAGATATAATATTACAGATATAATATTTTGTTTGATTTTTTTAAATTATTGTATATATATTATTGATGTAGAAACTGCGTATTTTATAATAAAATTATTTAATTAGAATGTTATTTATTTAGGAAAATTATAATAAAATATATAAATCATATATAACAATATATAATATATAATATATATTATATATATATTATAATAATAAATTTTAAATAATAAAATAGGAAAAAGCAATGAGTTTTGAATATTTGTTAAACTACTGAAGATATTTTGTTAAGATAAAATAATTGTTACAAATTTACATATATATAACATACAATTACAGGAATCTCCAAGCAGCTATATGTAGTTATTTTGACTTTGAATCTCCAGTTCAAAATAAATTTCCTTGTATGACACTGATATGTGATAGCACTATTGGTGAAGGAGAATCAATACCACCACTCACTAATTTTCAAAAATCTTGGCATATACAAAATAGTGGTACAGAAACATGGCCTGAAGGAGTTTGCTTACAATATATTGGAGGAGTACAAATGGGTGCATGTACAAGGGTACCAGTTTCATCTTTAGGTCCTGCAGAAATAACAGTAATAAGTGTGGACCTTCAAAGTCCTCCATATTGTGGTACATTTAAAAGTAAATGGAGGATGATGGTAAAATCTACAGAAACCTTTTTTGGAGGTGAATTCATTTATATTATTATTATTGCATATTTATGATATTATTATTATTACTTTAATTATAATTTTATTAATATAGTATAATAATATATATTATTATTATTATTTTAATTATAAATTAATTTTTAATATTATTAATTATTTTTTTATTTAGATGTTATTTGGGTAACTATTACAGTAAGTGAAAGTGGTACTCTGGCCATTACTCAGCAATTACATCAATTAAGTACTTCATCATCTAATGATACAAAGATGTGCTAGCCCCTAATGTCCAGAAACTTTCCTTAATTATTTTTCCTTTTTTTAAACGTCTTCGATTATTTTTAATGAAGTAAATTGAAAATAACATATTTGTTTTAAATACTTTAAAATACATAAAAATGTTCTTATTTCCCGCTATAATTACGCGAGAAAATATTTTCAATATTTACATACATGATTTAAGAAAGTACTGGACTAATATATTGTATAGATACTTTTATTAAATTTTGAAAGTTGCTTATATAAGGCCTTTTACCGTCCATATTTGTCAGTTACATTAAAAAATTTCTTTTATTCAATTGTTTTTGCAATTCAAAGTGTGCTAAAATTTAATTGTTAAAATTGTAACAGACATATATGGACTATTTTTAAAACTGGTACTGAAAAAAATTGATATAAATAATTAAAAATATATATATAAATATATATACATATACATATACACGTGTGTGTGTGTGTGTGTGTGTGTGTGTGTGTGTGTGTGTGCATGCGCGTGCGTGTGTGTCTAAGTATAATTATTAAGATACAAGTTTATTAAAAAAGAAAAAAGAAATAAAATTTTTTATTAGAAAATAAAATATATGATTAAAAAAAATATATATTATAATAGTATATGAATTATATATTCATTCACTGATTAAATGTCAGTTGAACATGTATTTTCTTAATGATGAAATAATACTTCTAGATGAAAAGTTTATAGATATAGATTTGTGTCAGTAGATCATTCAGTTTTGTTATTCGTTTTGTTTATTAATTTCATTTTTAAACGGCCATTGGCATAGAGATTTTTGCATGTGGGTCATATCCAATCAATTCAAAATCATTTGCTGTAAAATCGTTTATATCTTCAATGTTTCTAATGATTTTTAAATATGGAAATGGTTTTGGTATACGTTTGATTTGTTCCTCAAGTGCGGATATATGATTAAGGTATACATGACAATCGCCCATTGTATGTATAAATTCACCTGGCTAAAAAAAAAAAAAATACAATTTTCTTAAAAATTTAAAAAAAAAAGTTAAAAATTTTGTAACTTTTTTCTTATAAATTTACCTTCAAGTTTGTAATATGTGCTAGTATATAAATTAACAAAGAATAAGATGCAATATTAAATGGTACACCAAGACCCATATCCGCACTTCTTTGATAAAGTTGGCATGATAATTCTTCATTGCTTACATAAAATTGAACGAAACAATGACAAGGAGGTAAAGCCATTTTTGGAATATCGATTGGATTCCATGCTGTCATTATAATTCTTCTATCATTGGGAGAATATCGTATCTTATCTATAACTTCTTTTAATTGATCAATACCTGTATAAATAAATCTTTCAATGTATTTGTAGATAATTAAATTTATATAATTAAATTTAGGAATATTAGATTATTATTTTACCTTCTCCATTATAATCTTTGTACATATCTTTATATGTTGCACCAAAATGTCTCCATTGAAATCCATAAATAGGACCTAAATCTCCTTCTTCCCTATCTGTAAAACCACAAGAATCTAAGAACTCACGTGAACTATTTGCATCCCAAATATGAACATCTTTTTCGCTTAGTTTCTTTGCATTTGTGGATCCTTTAATAAACCATAACAATTCCTCCACTACACCTTTCCAAAATACGCGTTTTGTAGTTAATAATGGAAATATATCTATAATAATTATATTAATATTTTATTGTTGTTTAATTTAATTTCTAGATATTTATTTTGTGAAAAATTTAAAAAAATTAAAAGAAAAAATATATAAAAATTATAAAATATAAAAGAAAATATATGAAAAAAATTATGTATGCTATAAATTTTTAAATGATTTAATTTTCTTACTATTTCGTAAATTAAATCTCATCTGGGTTCCGAAAATGGATAACGTTCCCACACCAGTACGATCATCTTTTCTTGCTCCGTCTTTAATGATTTTTTCGATCAAATTTAAATATTGATATTCTTCATGTTTTTTTTCATTTTGAAAGCATTCTTGTGTTGTAATTATTTCATTTTCATTCATGTTTCAAAAAAATATTAAAATATAAATACAATGTTAGTAGAATGAAAAAGTTAATGAACTACAATTATTATAGAATGGAATTAGACTACGTAATTTATAGTTATAGTATTAAATTATAAGTTAAACTTAAATTAAACAAATTATATTCATTATAAAGAAAACAAATTCAAAAACTATTAAAGAATATTATATATTATAATTAAATATTTAATTAAAAATAAAAAATTTTGTTTTATTTTTTTTTATCTTCATCAATAATTCGTAAATATATATAAAAATAAAAATTAATTTTATAATTTTTTGAAAATAAAAATTACTTTTTTAATTATTTGTAAAATTATTATTAAATTAAAATTATTATTTTATATGATAAATGAACTTCATATAGATCATATATTTTATATGATAAATGAACTTAATATAGATTAAAAATTATTAAAATATGAAAGAATACTAATAATTTTATAGAATTTTATATTATTAATTTTAACATAAAAATTATTATTATTAACATAAAAAATAAATTTTAATAATTCTCTATAAAATATTTACATTTCTAATAAATATATTTTATATATTATATATTGTATATTTAATAGAGTGTCCAAATAAGCAATATATATTATCAATATTTCAAAGTTCTCAACATTAATAATACATCAATTTGTTCCATAAATATTCAGTAATATTAATAATATTGATTATATTGTTAATATATATTGATCACTTTTACATAATGTTAAGAATCTTAAAATATTGATAATATATATCGATCATTTGAATATTCTTTTAAAAACAGATTTATAATAATAAATCATAAGAAAATAAATTAAGGAAAATAAATTCATTGAAAAAATGATATTTATATTGAAAAAAAAATTTAAATTATGAATGATAAACTATAAATTATATATACTATAGATATATACTATTGACTATAGATTATAAACTATAGACTATGTTAATAGTAGAAAATTATTATCGTGATTACTTGCAAATGTTTTATTACATTATTTAATAGATCAAAATGGTGTTAAACACTGTACATTCTTCTGCATTAAAAATCATTAAACCATACAGAAAATGGATTATAGAAAATCCTCAATTACTATCTGACATGGAAAATACGATTCAATATTTGCCTTATTTCACAGCTGGTAAGAAAGATTTTATAAAAAAGCAATTGTTTTTCCTCTGAATTTATTCATAAAATAAATTATTTCTAGGTCAATTTAATAATTCTTCTTTTATATCGGAATTACTGTATTCAGTTTCGAATTTAATAGTATTTTTCAATGATTTATTAATGAGTAGTGAGAAATGTATACATTTAAAATTTTCTAAGTTCGAATCGAAAATAAAAATTTGGCTGACTGTAGTAGAATACACAGAAGCTCTTTTTGAAATTTCTGCGAAAAAGTTATGGGGACAAATTGGAAAATGGTTTATAATAACTATCATTCAAATATTTAAGTAAGTTATTTAAAATTTTATATATTAATATTTTTATGAAAATTTGTATTCATATTATGAATATTTATAGAACTGTATTAAGACTTCTATTAGTTCATTTATATAAAGAACGAATAACAAAAAGTCCTCCAATACAGCCACTTAATAGAGAAAAAATAAATGATTCATATAATGAAAAGTCAAGAGAAAGCTTTGTATTAAAACGATCTGGTACTGTTGTTAGAAGTATAAGAAGTACTAATTCTTTACATATATGTACATGGGAGCCTTTATCTTCTAATGTTAACAATAATAATTTAAATAAATGTTCTACATCAGAAAAAAATTTAATGTTAGCTGAGGTAAAAATATCAAGTAAATATAATCTTTAAAATATATTTATTGACTGTTTTGTATTTTGTTTTAGACTCTTTATATTATTAAACCATTATTACATTTGGGATGTATATCTTTTACTGGAAAAAAACATTGGCCTCCATGGTTGTTATCATTTGCTATTGATTTAATCAGGTACAAAGTAATATTTATTATCAAATTTATTAAAAATAATTTATTTGTTTTATAATATAAAAATTCATTTTTTTTTACAGTCTAAAAATAATTAATAATCAGATGAAAAATATATCATTTAGTAAAGAAGAAGAAAAAGAATTCTTCAGGCGAAGACTTGCTTTACTTCTTTATATATTAAAATCTCCATTTTATGATAAATATAGTCGTACTAGAATATATACAATCTTAACTGCACTTTCTAATAAAATACTTCTGGCAAGATTTGTAACAGAGCCAGTAAAAAAGTATTTACCATATTGGCAAAGTACATATTTTTATTTATGGACGAATTAATTTGTAGAATTAATAAATATTTTAAAAAATTATTGGTGTATAATATTATTATAAAACAAAGATAAAAGAATTATAAAAAAAAAAAATGAATATTTTCATAAGTTGAAAATGATTTTTATTACAAATATAATATAATTATATCATTATATATCATATAAATAAAATTTTTATATATGAGGATAAAGTAATTTTAATAATTTATTGAAGCATATAACAATTTATAGATTTATTATTATATTTTACATTTTATAAAAAAATTACAAATTTTTAATTGCAGAACCGAAAATCGACATTCCATTTTTGCGAATATTGCATTTTAATAAAAATTAGATTATATTTGTCGATATATTCTGCTTAAATGTGCATGAATATAATATTTTTATGTTTCTAAACATAAAAATATATAAATTTACATGTTTTTATTTATTCATATTGTCATATGATATGAATATAAATTTTTTAATAAAAATAAAAATATCTATATATATAATTTTTCTATATTATGTATATAAAATACAAAAAAATAATTTTATGTATAACAAAAACAACAAATGTAAACAAAATCAATAAATGTATAAAAGATTAAAAGATTTTTAAAAAATATATTTCCTTATCCAATATATCATATGGATTTTCTTATATTAAACATTAATATACCAATAAAATGCATGGAAATAACTTGCAAATATATTACAATTTAAAAGAAATACAACATAGCAGAAAATATAAACATGACTTTTGGAATTAAATAGCAATTTGTATATAAAATTACTTATTCACACATTTGAAGTAATGAATTTATAGTTACATCCTTTTTTCCATTATTTGCATCATAGACTGATTTAATTACTTCTTTATCCACATTTGGGAACATCTCTGAAATCTATATTATATGATTACTAATTTGTTATATTGCAAGAAATAAGTAAATAATAATTTTTTTACATTACCTGTTTTAATTCAACTTCAGCATTTGGCATAGAACTGGGAATAACAGGTGATACAGTAGCTGTAGTTGGTGTTGTGTAAACATTTACTGGTGCATATCGTGTCATACCAAACATTGTTGAAGAAGGAACCATCATAATCGGAGGTGCACTCATGTAAGACTGACACTTAGTCTATTAAAATATTTTAAAAAATTAAAATAAAATTTTAATCAAAAATATTAATTATGATTAAAATATATTTTTTAATATATTATTCACTGTATAACTAAAAACTACATTTTTAATTAATTAATTAAAAACATTTTACCGTATAACTAAAAACTAAATTTATCATTCCCTCTTGATTGTCTCCTTGCTTTCCACTAAGCATATACCAATCTTCATGTGTCTCTCCTTTTTGAAGAACTTGTGATGGAATATCTATGTGACCCCATGCAATTAATTCATCCATTACAAAAGAACATTCATCATAAATTTCTATATAGATTTGTAAAACTCCTGGTGGCAAATAGCTAAATAATAATAACAAATAGATATAAATTATTTGTAAATAGTTTTAATAATAATAAATTTTAATATATAAATTATTTGAAATACCATTGAATAACTTTGTTCCAATGTGGATTTTTTGCTCCATTTGAACATGTATGTGTTTCATATACAGCATGACCTACTCTTAATCTCACATAAGGATCCATTCTTGTCATTCCATAATTTTTTACAAGTTTAGCCTATAGGAAGTATCTTTTTGAAATTACGAATAAAATGTTATTATAAAACATATATCACTACTTTGTAAAACTTAAAGATGTACATTAAAAATTAACTTAAAAATGTACATGAAAATTATAAAATTACCTGAACAATTGTTATACTAAGTCTGCCAACATGAGGTTCATGCATAGTAGGCATATTCTGCATTTGTAATTGATGAAGTGCAAGTGCAGCTTGCTGGTCTGCTGCTTCTTGTTGTAATTGTACATTACGCTCTTCCAATCTTAAAAATCCTTGAGGGAGTGGACCAAGAAAAGCCTAAAACATTATTTATTATTATTTCAAATTCTTATAAAAATTTAAATTATTAAGATTGAATTACAATGAAAAAATTTAATATTATTTAAGGAATTAATAAATGGATCATTGAAAATTAATATTAATATGAGTTACTTTTTTTTTTATTTATTTTAATTAATAATAATTAAAAAAAATTATTTTTAATATTTTTAATATTGTAAATATTGATTTTTATATTGAATTTTTTTAAATGGAAGAAATAAATTTAATTATTATAATATAATATATAATTTTAATATTATATAATTATTATATATAATAATTATAATATAATTTTATTTTATTCAAAATGAATTGCAATATTTGTGCTAAAATTTGTATTATTTACTCGTCTTTTCCATTCTTCGTATAAATCTGATCGTCTTTCAGTTTCCATAACAATAATCAGAATTTCACTGTATTAAAATTTTTTTCTTAATGTAATAAACTTCGATATAAGTGAAACCTGTCAAACTACACGTATTTTTTAATACATTTGGAAAATCACAACACATTTGATACAGTAATAGCACGCCATCTTAAGTTACTCATGAAACATACGAATTACATATACATTTCAAACATAAATGATATTATATATAAAAATAACAATTTTAAAATAAATTAAATAATATGAAAAATTAAAACAAATATTTTTTATTAGCTAGAATATTTAAAATAATGAAATAATCAAAATAAATTGGATATAAATAATTAATATAATTAAAATTGAAAAATTAGAAAATAGAATTAAGGAATGAATATAGTAGATTTATGCAAATAAAGAATAAAAAATTTATGTAATTCTGATAATTTTTGTTTATTTTAATAATTATAATAAATATTATTTTACAATTAAAACGTAATTATTTGTGGTTTTTTTTTTTAAGGGAATCATAAACTAAAATTCCATTTAGAACATTCTTGACAGATCGTTCGTCAGCATCCACTGGGACTGGCGTGACATTCGATCGTCTGTTGCTAGGATCCTCCCGAAAAATTTTTCTGTAAATAGATTTTGCTGGTGATTTTTCTTGATTTCGGATATCATATAATTTTTTTTTTTCGTATTCTAGTCATTTATACGCTCTGTTTGTGCTAGTACTATTTTCATTCGCAATTAATCTCAAAAGGAATTAATTTCAGAGGAAGTACAACTAATTTTTTACCATATTTTTAGTGAAAATTGATTTTTCCACAAACCATGTCACATCAAACAGGAATCAGAGGTATTTATTGTAATATAATATTATTTTTATATAGCAAATAGGAAGAAATATAGGAATTTTTATAATTAGGTTAAATAAATTTAGGTTTTTAACCTCAATATTTTTAAATATTATTTTTATATATTAACTTTGCCTATTTCAGCGAACGATGCACTTAAAAAGTTATTTACCAAATGTCGAGATGGAAAAATACGAGTTTTGAAAGTTTCTATCGAAAATGGTAAGTTTTTTGTATAGATTCATAAAGTATATGATATTATATGAACAAAATAAATGAAAAAAATTTTTTTGTTTCATAGAGGAACTAATACCTGCTGCTTTTTCGAAATCAATAAACAAATGGCAAGATGATTATGATAAGATGATCAAGCCACTAATCATTGAAAATCAACCTGCATATATTCTTTATCGACTAGATACTAAGTCTTCGGATTCTGGTTATGATTGGTTATTTATTTCTTGGTCACCTGATACTGCACCAGTTAGACAAAAGATGTTATATGCATCAACTAAAGCAACTCTGAAACAAGAATTTGGAACTGCTTCTATAAAAGAAGAATTACATGGTACAGTACCAGAAGATATAACATTAGAAGGTTATCATAAATATAAAAGAAATAATGCTGCACCAGCACCATTAACTACAGCAGAAGAAGAATTAGCAGAACTTAGAAAAAATACAGTTACTACAGATTACAGTGTAGAAACAAGACATCAAACATTAAGTGGAGTTGCTTTCCCTGTGACAGATGAGGCAAAACAAGCAATTACAGAACTTGGTAAAGGTATACATGAATATGTTCAGTTAAAAATTGATTTAGAAGAGGAAAAGATACATTTAGTAATGGCTTGTGAAGTTTCATTGGATAAACTACCAACCAAAGTTCCATCTGATTCTGCTAGATATCATCTTTATAATTTTAAGCACACACATGAAGGAGATTACATGGAATGTATAGGTATGTTTTAAAAATAAAAGTACTTGTGTCTCAATCAATAATATATTTTTATTTATGATGTTACAGTATTTATATATAGCATGCCTGGATATAGTTGCAGTATTAAAGAAAGAATGTTATATTCGTCATGTAAAGCACCACTTCTAGAACTTATTCAATCACTTGGAGTGATTATAACAAAAAAGGTAAGTAGATAGATAAAATTTCATAATAAAGATAATATCTTTCAATTTATTTTCTTTCTATTGGTTTCTTTTTTGCATGAATGTCTTAACAGGATCATTTAAAACTGGTAATTTATATTAGAATCTGAATCTGTGCTTTTTAAATAAATAAATTTTTAATTGTATATTACATTTTTATTATTATTAAAAAATATATTTTATCTTAAATTAAAAAATATATATATATCTATCAATTTTAACAAATATTTTATTCTTTTAATTGCATTGTATAATTTATTTTACTTTTAGATTTTATCTCTTTTTATATGGATTAATGTTAAGATTAAAATTTTTCTTTTTCTTTTTTTTATTTTCTTTTCTTTTTTTTTTTTTTTTTGTAATAATTTAATGAATCCTAGTTGGAAGTAAATAGTGGTGAGGAATTGGCAGACATGTTGGAAGACCCTCCAATCATAAAAGAAACAGCTGCAATAACTTCTGCAACTCCATCAACGCTCTATGCTTCTCCTCAATCTATACCAGAGAAAAAGTCAAAACAGAAGAGATCTTGTATCTTGAGTTAACCGATTCTACATTCTTTGCTTGCCATTTTTTAATGTTTCTTAAATGTTTATGAAATATTTCAAATGTTTTAAACATTGAATACTTTCCTTCATAAATTCTGAATTTGTGATAATATGATATTAATTAATTGAATATATTATGTAAAATGATGTAATTGATTTCTAATAACTTCAATATTAGCACAACATAGTTATATAGTATAATTATTCTGAAGTTTAATGTGTGCATTTTTATAAAGATAAATCTTTTATTAATTAGTGATATATTTATTAATATTTAGTAATAATTGGTCAAAGTGATACATATATTTATGTAGCAATTCAGAGTAGACCAAACAATGTATTTTTCTAAATTTTAAAGAACAAAATTGTCATGTTAAAATTTTAACAAAATATCTTTTTGATAACTGAAAAATTTGCAATGCATATGATTCCATGAAATGCAATTCTTGTTGATCCAATACTGTAATAATGTTAATGAATAATAGATAATTGTTCATTCATACAAAAAATACCATAAGAAAAAAAATCATAAAGTGAGGATTTAATTGCTTGACATTGAAAGTGAAGCCTTCTATTGTACTTTTACATTTTTTCCCAATATTTTATTATAATTATATTCTAATATTTAATGAAAAGTCTCGAAAAGTTATTTTTTTTCTTCATATAGTTCCTTTAATTTACTTGTTTTATAGTTTATATAATTTTTATACTATTTTTAATATCTATTACAAATATGAAAAATAAACCCAGTGAGTTGACTGTATAAATTAGTTCCTAGTCTAATAAAAAGTGATATATTGTATTTTTAAGTAAGTCATTTTTCATATATTACTAATTTTATTAAGTGAAACTCGAAGGCTTGACTTTCAAATTCATTCAAACTCATATGAGAATTAGTGATAATAGAGGTAGAGTGTTTAAAACAAATGTCTGTGGTAAAACTTGCATAACTATGTGATTATTAGAGAGTTAGGGAAAATTCCATGTGCTCTAGTTAGCCGATGCCACTCACCTAACTTCTCTGTGAAATATAAATAAGAAGATATAGTAGATGAGAGAGAGTATAGTAGATGATAAATGTGCAAATTACCGCATTAACTTGTGGATATATTTTCTTTGCACATGATTATCATTTTTGAACACAAGCTAGTGATAATACTAATTACTTTATATACATATTAAATTATATATATATAATTATATATATACACACAGACATACACATATTATATATTATATCATGTTCTATACTACTGTAAATGATACAAAATATTAGATTTCACAAATATATGTATAAAGACTGATCTTGGTATGTCCCATTGGTTGTACAATCACAAAAAATGATAATGTTTATATAGATAAATATTTTAAAACATCTTATATACACCTTGAAATTATTTTTAATTTTTTATTTTAAACAAAAGATGTAAGGTGTAATAAAATATATTCAAAATAAAAAAATATATATTATTTGTAACTTTCAAATTAATAATTTAAATCAATTAATGAATATTATGTGTATATATGATTTACATTAGTTATTATTATCTTTTAAAATATTTTTAGATTTCTTTCTATAAAACATTCCTTTAATTTAATATATATGTATAGCAAATGGGACTATAAACTAATAGCAAACAGACAAAATATTCAAGAGGCATTCTATTTTTTGTGATCTGTATTTTTTTAACTCTTGTAGCTTTTTATAAATTTTATAAAAATTTTCGTCCAAAATACAAATGTATAACTTATCAAAAAATTTTGGCCTAATTTTAATGAGAATAATGATACAAAAATACATCAAATTTTTGATACTTAAATTCAAAAACTAAATTTTTTTTTATTTGATATTATATTAATGATATATATATATTTACATTAATATAAAAATTAAAATTTTTTAGAAATAGTAAGTTCTCGAAATCGATATGTCTACAATTTATTATTGTTTTTTACAGCTATGTAAAAATTTTTTCAACTTAAATTTATTCTCAATATTTTTTTATTATTACATGTTGAAGAAAAAAATACAGAATTTGGCATAATTTCTATGTTTTACAAAAAAAAAAAGAAGAAAAATTTGCAAAATGCTCAAAAAATTATTAATAAATCACGTGTTCTATATTAAGAAATAATGCATATTATTGCCTGGGAATATTTCAATTTATAATATTGTACCAGGCCTATTCTGTAAGTTCTTAGTATAATTTTATTTTCAACTGTTAGCTTAATTGTAGATTCATTATGATGAAATAAATTGTATATCTTGCCAATATTAAACACGCTAAATAATAAAGCATTATGCAATCTAATCTTACAGTTTGTTGTGTTTTAATTTTTAACAAAGTAACAATATTTTTTTATATATCATGATTTATTTGCACAGAATTTAATAGGTTTCTAAGGAGTGCACAGTGAATCAGTCATTGGATGGGTATGTAATTATAATTAAGATTTTATGATATATGTAAGGCATTCAGCTTACAGAATAGGCCTATAAAGTTCTATTTCTACTATTATTTTTCATTATTTCATATTTTTTTTTATCATTTTTTTTTATTAAAAAATGAATTATGTTTTTATTTTTTAATACGTTATAATAATTGTTTTAAAATATTTTGATTATATAGCTTGAAATAGATGATGGAAGAGACCTAACTGAAGGATTTTTACAAGAGGAATTACATCCAAAAATCAATTTACATCAGCCAAAATTCGCGAAACCTAAGGGTCCACCAAACAGAGGCGCAAAACGTTTAACCAAGGTTCAAGATTTAGGAACTTCAGAACAAGAAATTTAAAAAAAATTATATTCAAATTATTTCAAATTTGTTGAGTTATGCTAAAAACATATATGCATTACACATATAGAGATAAATGCAAACACAAATTGTGTTCTTATATATTAAAAAATGAATGTGTTGTGTTTTATCTTGCTTTTTTCTTTCATTAAATAGTATTATTTGTTTTATAATTTAAAAAATTTATATATAATTTTTTTAATTTTAAAAGAAAACAAATAGATTTTATTTACTTTATTTAATCAGGCCTATTCTGTAACTCAATATTTCATTCACTTATAATTTAATTGAGAGTATTATTAGAATGTAAATAAAAAATTATTTATGATTATAACTGATTATATTATAGGATATTTTTATATATTTTTTACAAGATAATAAGTTAGATAAAATAGATAAATTTATATTATCAATATGAAATGCAATTAAAAAGTTTGTTCTTTTTCATGAAAAAGAATTATTCTTATCATTCTAATTTGAGTTTATTTATCATTGTCTAGAATTATAAAGAATTATTAAATAATAATTTATGATGTAATCAGTAGATTTTATATATATATTAATCTAATATATTAATTTGTTACTAAATTTCTATTTTTGAAATAATGACTCTTTTTGTTGTTCTTTTTCAAGTATATGTGTTTTCTGATTATATTCATGCAGTTCTTTTAGTTTTAATTCTTCTTCCTGTATTATATTCCTTGCATTTTCTTTTATTTTACTAAAATATAGAAATTAATTTTATTTATTAATATTTGAAACAAATAGAATTTTTTAATTTAAAATTTATTATATTGCAGACTTACTCTCGTCTTGCATTCATCAGTTTTGTTCCTGCTTCATAAAGATTATTCATATCAGTTTGAGTTACAAATAAAATGAATGATGTGATACAACCATATATAGCACCCAGTATTGTTCCTAATAGTATTCCTGCAAATGCTCCTTTCAAACCCATATTCATTTTATATATAAAACCTGCTACAGCACCACTAAACATAGTATTTAACACATCAAATCTTTCTCTATATACAAATAAAAATGCTGATACACTCCTAATGAAGAACATTATATTAATTTATATTTATAAATCTATAATATTACTAAAAAGAAAAAATTTTAGGTAGAAAAAATTGTAAATATAATTCTTACGAGAACAAGAAACAAAAGAATCCAAGTTTTATGCCAAACGAAATACCCCCTTTTGTTAAAGCAGAATTTATTTTATTTTGTATATCTCGATAGGCATAAAATTTGTGTTTATATAAGGTAGCTTGATTTTCTTTTTTGTGAATTTCTGATATATCTTTTGTTTTATTTATTCCACCTAATAAGAATCCTGTTATAAAACCTAAGGATGTTGCATTATAGACAGATTGTAGTTCTTTGGTTGGATATCCTTTTCTGTTTAGAATAAACAATATAGTAATTTGATTAAAAAAAATAAATAAGAGTAGTAAGAAATAATAAATATGAATTAAATGATTATTCTTACTCATCAAAAAAATAACCTTTATATTTGTCTATAAATGCTTTTCTTTTAAATAATTCTGTTAATTTTTCATTAGAATCATTATTGGATGAAGAATTAAATGGAAAAAACGCAGAGCAGATCAATCTTCTGTTTATTATTGCACGTAACATGTTATTTATATATATTCACTGCTATTTTTGTTATATGTTGTTTATGAATTGTAATAATAAAAATGTAATTAATAAATATATTATTAAGATATATTATTAATCTATATTTTCATTTTATTCTTCATAAAATTAATATTTTTATAAATTAAATTATACATTTAAATAACATGTAACAGGATTATGATTATGATTATTTTACACTGAGAATATAAAGAACTTAGAAATTCGATTTCTAAGAATTTGAGAATCAATGATCGGAGATGTATACGACATCGCATCATTTTTAAAAATCGATATTAGTAATGTATTCAAATTTTTTTAAATTACTGTTTTATATAAATAACATTTTTTTAGTTTTTAAAAAATATTTTTCAATATTTATTTTTTCTTATCATATTTTGTATCATATTTTAAAAAAATTTTATTATTATATATTATTTAAAATTTCATATTTTCATAAATTATTATATAATAATTAATTTTTCTTTTTAACAATTATTAAACAAAAAATAAAAAGATTTTTTACCATAATAAATAAATTCAGATAATAATTAGATAATAATTAAATAAAATATCATTGTGAATAAATATAATAGAAAATATATTTAAAAAAAATGAATATAAATATATAATGTTTGTATCAAGTACGATCATTAATTTAATTATTTTTATATCATGAAAATTAGAATAATCTTTTTTTAAATGGATGATAGTGGCGCCTCCAAGTCAATGAAATTCACGTCATATGAGTAACATTTTTCGCGCCTTTTTATAATTCGCAAAATATTGAATGTTGAATTTCAGATTTGACAGTAAAATCGATATTGTTCGCAAAGAAGTACATTTTCAAATGTCATTATGCAAATAAGAATTCTTTTATTCATATTGATTAGCAATAAAGCTTTTATTACAAAATTTTTAAAATCATTTTTGTGTTTAAACATTTTGTGTTTAAAATAGATGATATGACAAATACATTGGTAGATTTACTTACATGCGCCGGCGTACAATATCGTTTTGACGTAACAATATTACGTCAGAACATGGTTTACAATACGCAAAAGGGATAGTATGCGTGGGTGTGTTGGAAAGGATCGCAAGGAGTGGAAGGGAAGCCATGGAGGAGGTGGAACGTCAATAGGAGAATCCTTTAGCTGTGTAGTGGGGAGAATGGATGAAGGTAGGGGTATTACAATCGTAGGGGTATTAGGGATAAAATCAGGGACGTAGTTATGAATAATTTAATAAGATTTTTTCGACTTCTTTTTTATTTTTATATCATTTGAAATTATAATTACTACGAATGTAAATTCGCATAAATGACTTATAAACAATAATCATGTTCATAAGAATTTTTTTGTTCGACTTGCAATTATGCAAATTTACTTTTATTATAATCTAAATCTCCTAATTAATAAGTATTATTTATTTCTTTAAAATTCTTTTATTCGATTGCTCGCACTCTATTCTAATTCACTATCATTGTATCATGATATATATTAATTTGGATAATTTTGTATAAAATAAAAAAAAATTTTTCAAATGAATCTATAAGAATCAATTATTAAATTTTTTTTATTTCTAAATATATTTTTTGATTTTTTATTAAAAATTTATTATTAGAAGTAAAATGAATTTAAATAATTTATATTCTTAAATATTTAAAAATTTAATTTTTTTTTTAATTTTTAATATGAATTTATTAGTTATGAATAATATTCTTTTTTTTTAATTTTATAAAAAAATTTTTTAAAAATAGATGATTTTTTTATTTTATTTATTTTATTTATTGTTCTTTACAACACTGTTGAGAATGTTACGCTAAAAGATGAAAGATGAATTGGTTTTATTTTGTATAGTTTTCAGAATATTCGATTTCGGAATCTAATAATTTAATAATTTAATAAATAAATTTATTTATTACGTTAAAAACTATCGATAAGTAATGTTTCATTTTCCTTTCATATTCTGTTTTCTAGGGATTTTTAGAAGAATTTTTTTAATAGAATTTTTTATAAAAACTTACAAGAATATATTTAATAAAAATTAAGCTCAACTATATCCAATTTTAACTTTTGATGTAATTTCATTTGAAAAAAAAATTTTACAAAAACGTAATAAAATAATAAAATGTAATTTTTATATTATAGTTATTTTAATTCTAGTTATTTCATTAATACAAATTTTAATCTGAATCTTGAAAAAATTAATTTAAAATCTTTTTATATTTTCATTCGAAGCAACTAAATAAAGATATCCAAAATATTTAGGAAATATTTGGTTTCAAAATGTGGTCAAAATTTTTTTTATTTATTCATTTAAATTACATATTTCGAAGTATAATTAGATAATATAGAATTTGTTTAAGCTGCAAGATGGTTTCATATTTTTGTTTTCAGTTTTATTTTAAAAATATCTAATTTTACCAAAAAATCATGGTATCCTTTTATAAAGTTCTTGTGGTATCGATTAATTTTAATTAATTTTACGAAAATAAATCAAATCAAAAAATTATACACACACATTTAAATAAAGATATATAAATTTATAAATTTAAATATGTAATTAGTATCTAGATTATACGTATGTATTCTATATTGTATATATTATATGAAATTAAATATTTTCGAAGCCACGATATAACAGGAGAAACTTATTCAATAAGAATAAATTGTCCTCTTTTGGATATAGCGAAAACATGTCGTATTTTGAATTTTGTGTTATCATTATATTACTTGTATTTTGTATAAATTATTTTTAATGAAATAGTTCAGAATAATTGATTTTTATAATATATTTTTATAATATATTTTTATAATATTGTATTAATATATATGTATAATATATATTATATAATATATATATGTATAATTATATAATAATTATATTATATAATTATATATATGTATAATATGTATTAATATTTAAAATTAAATTAAAATTTTTTTTTCAAAAAATGAAAATTACAAATATTAATTTGTTTGCTAGTTCTTAATTATATATTTTTTTAAAATGATGAAAATATTTTTTTTTAATTTTAGTAATTTTGTAAACTTTTTTGGAATTATTTCTTTCAAAGATTCTCTACTAAAATAGGTTTATTAATTAATTATTTATAAAATGATTTATAAGTTGCAAAATATTATGTTTTGTTATGTTTTGTTATGTTATGAATTAATTATGTATTATGTTATGAAGTAATTGAAAATTTAATAATAAATAATTTTATATAATAAATAATAGTGATAATTAAAAGATATTATTATGAACGAATAATAGAATAAACTTTATTTTTGATTTTCTTAGAAAGATAAAAGAATAATTTCTAATCTTCACAGATTGCTATTTATTTATGGAAAAGATTTATAGAATATTTTAGGGTACAGGGCACTCCCGCATATAGTACACTACCAGACTTTATTGGTCTAAGGAGAAACATGGTAAAGCATCAGTGATGTAACATTTGACAGGGTGTTTTTATAAGGTACTACTAATGGAATTAAATAAAAAATGCTACGAAACAATTATTTCCAATTTGAAGAACTTAAATCTACTAAAATATTAAAGTATTGTTTTATTAAGTATTTAATTATAATAATGATATTTATTTTATTAAATATTTAATTATAATAATGATAAATTCAATTTAATTCAAATTAAATTCAAATTAAAAAATTTTGAATGAAATAAGATTCAAAAATTCATGAAATTGAATCAGCCAAATCAGTTAAATTAACACAATAAATGGAACTTGTTGTATTAATCCAATAGTTAAATAAACAATAAAATAGCAAAATTAAAAATTAAAATTAAAATCAATGGAGCAGATTGAAATCAAGATCATTAGAATCAATATCCTTATCAATAGATCAATGAATCCAGAGAAACTAATGTAACTCATACCCATCACTATCAACATCACCTTCACCACCACCACCCTGATCAGGGTATTTCATCGAGGGGTTACTCAAGGGTGGGGAGATAGATAGTGGGATCAGGAGTATAGGGGTGGGACAGAGAGCTAAGGCGAACAGAGAGGGAATCAAGCCGAGCCCCACGGAGCATCGCCACCCGTGTGTATCGCACTAAAATGTGACTCTGGCTAGCAGCACCGGGAGCCGTGTGAGCGCGAGCGCGAGAGCGAGAGAGAGTTGTGTGTGCCGGAATTTTCGTTAGTTTAGGAAGCAATTGCGTTTTTTCTCACTTTGTAGCTAAGCCAATAAGTCAATACTGTTTATCGGATATTTTAAAAAAATCAAAGGGAGAGAAAGTGAAAGAGTAGGAACATTCTATAAAAAAGGGAGGATATCTTCTTGAGCGATTCGCAAGAACTATAAAAAAAAAAAAAAACATATCATTTTCTTATAATCGAGGATCACCTGATCCAAACTTGTTTAGATTAGAGCATGTTCGATTGAATGGTGAAGAAAAAGAAGAGCCAGCGGATCTAGTGAACGAACAGAAGAACGAGTCATGTCATGTGAATTGTAGACTGACGTATCGAGTATATATGTATGCGTAGAAGTAAAAAAAGTGTACCTTGTCATTCCATCGTTACAATCGTTTATTCGCGTTCCCTTGTTACGTGAAAAACAAAACTGCAAGTTACACGGGATCACCCAGTCAGCTCCGATGACCATCCTGGATTAGTGTACTTTCGCATCACTCCACTGTGAATTGTGATTCCTTGTGTCGTGGACGAAAAGCAGGGTAATCGTGACGGGATAAACGAGGTAAGATAAGCATCGTTCATTTTGTTACTCGTATTGATATATTATATTTTGCGTTAATCGAAATTAGCTCTTAAGTTTGGAATAGATTTATCTGAAAAAAAAAACATGTACAGGCTCTATAAATCTTTATCTAATTAGACTAATTTAGAATAATTTAACGTAAATTAATTGAGAAAAAACGTGATAAATCGAATATTTGGATTTCTATTCAATGTTTGTTATTAATTTTTTACAAAAATATAAAATATTCAATCAATTGTTAAAGATACATTAACAATAGACGTCATACTTTAAGAAAAAAGACAATTTATGATTTTTTTGGTAATATTTAATTTTAGAACAATAAATAGTTGGAAAAGAGCTATTTCTCTTGCTTATGTTTCTTTACCTTTCTTATCTTTCAAAAGAATAA